ATTGAAGAAACGTTTGGCCATAACTCATTTTGTTCGCATTATAGATTCACATTCACTTTAACTTTCACTATCACGCACAGTACAGGGTCATACCTCAATACCAAATTATTATAGGGCACAAGAACAGATTTGTTTACAATTGTCAAAATTTGTTGAGCCCAGCAGCTTACTTCCTTTCCTCTCTTCCCCCGTCGTCTGGAGTGTGTGACTTTTGTTGATGTCCGAGCTCTTATATTTATCTTTAGTTAATGGTTAACTTTCTGTGATTGGACTCGGTATTTTCGTCCCGACCGAGTGGGACGATGCTTGCTCGCCAGTTAAGCCAGATAACACTAATTTCTACAAACCACAGAATATTAAATATAAAATGTGTCCAGTATGGCGCGAATGCATAATTTGATAATTTCTTGACGCCGTCGTCGGGGTGAGAGTTATCTGAACCAACTGCATGCCCCTACGATTGCGTCACCACTGGTGAGCAAGCATTTGTTTGTTGTTTAGTTGTGTTGAAAGGGAACATTACTTGATTAATTCATCCATTCGGATTTTAATAACGATGAGCTATGATATACCGTTCATCTTAGATTATTGGATCAATTTTATTATATGATTAGATTTTATAAACGAACTTGGCACACAAAAGATTATAATGCGGAGGTTGGCTGGCTCTTCTATAATAAATACGACACTCCAATTTACAGAATGCTTGCTAGAGATAAAACAAAATATTATCAGACTGTACATGCAGCATGAGTAACTGGTGGATAAGCCTTCGGTAAAAACGGATCCGGAAAAGTCAATGCGGCACTCGGGTCCTTGGTATTGTCGTCGGTATGTTGTCCATTATCTACGTTCTGCTTCCATAGTTTAAACAATAGTGAGTTCTAAATATACAGCTTTAAACCGATTAAGTATGAATGAATAAAATACCTGACAATCCGCACTCCTATAATTCAAAAGCATGAGTAACTCGTAGTGATGTATGATTTCTAGAAACTTTAAATTAAATTTGGCGCTCACAGGTCCTCGTGATCATGTGATCGCAGCATGAGGTTCTTCAAGCTTAAATTATTCACCTTACTGAGGCAGTCAACCAACGCGCGGCTTTATTTTTATGATATGATATGTTTTGATTGTTATTAATAAATACCAAAATTTAAATTTGTTTTCCTAAAATTTGTTTTCCTAAAATCGCCTAATATGTTCAATTTTAGGGAGGGGCACCAAAAGGGGAGGGGGCGCCAACAGAGGGGCGCCTTTTCGGCGGAGGGGCGCCAACAGGCAACGTTACGCCACTGAGGGCAGGGTCAATGATGAAAAAAAGCAGTCAAGCTTCATGCATATTATGTTGAGCATTATTAACCAATAAATGTGGGAACTCCCACAATCCAAGATAAGAACTCAATTTGATCAATTCTTGGAAGATACTTAATAAAATGGATGATGATTAATCACTCTACACTCGACTGTCACGTGACTTTTTCAACCCGTTCTCTAGCTGGTCCTGAACGACTATTCGAAATCCTAACCCTCTAATCTGATCCCAACCCTAACCCTAATATATATAACCTAATCCTTAGCAAAAGCATGTGCTGAAACCCTAACCCTAACGAGAAAAACAATCTCGAAGATCGACTGTAGAGTGATTTAGCACGCTCGGTGAATTGACATCGTCAATTAATATTTGATAAATTATTACTTTTATATTTGATGGAGAAATAGTTACTGTATATTTTTCCATGTAGAGCGATGACACTTTGTAGAAATTAGTGATGATGTTATGTCATAATTTTTACTTTACTTTACTTTATTGTTATTTGATTTTATTACGAGCGTGCTAAATCACTCTACTATACAGTCGATCTTCGAGATTGTTCTAAAAGGACCCCCAACAGTTGTAATTAACTTCAATCGATGTATTTTCGGACGCTGATTCCGAATCACCCCCATGACATGCATAGGGGTAAAATGCTCCCCTGACGAGATATTGGCGAAAAACTGTCTCGATCACGTAATATGACCGTATAAGGAAGTTAGTCTAATTTCTCGTTAGGGTTAGGGTTTCAGCACATGCTTTTGCTAAGGATTGGGTTAGGGTTAGGGTTGGGATCAGATTAGAGGGTTACGATTTCGAATAGTCGTTCAGGACCAGCTAGAGAACGGGTTGAAAAAGTTAGGTGACAATCGAGTGTAGAGTGATTAATCATCATCCTAAACGAACTACATGAATGTGTATATATAATTTTTATTAAAAGTGTTTTATTGCACACTTGATATGAAGGGAAATTATTAATTTGTTGTTTATAACCTTGCTCTAAGGTACTGGGCGGCGCTCAGCCGTACTGTCATTCCGCCGAATCTTTATTCGGGCTGAGTGAATTACGACCTCCATCGCCCTGAAAAAAGTGCGAATGCTCATTGGATGTCAGATCGCACGTGACTCGCATTCACGTGATCGTTCAAAACCAATTACAGCCGCGCAAAAGATCACGTGCACGCCAACTACCAATCAGAAAGAAGTGACGTATGCGCTAAAAGAGCCGCGCGCTGAGTTAAATTGTAAAATCTGATTATTTGTAAATTCGCATAAACGCGCCTATTTGCGCGTTTTAGTGTTTAGAGGGTTCAATTACGCCAGGCTATGTTTATGAACATAATAGCCTGGGGTCCTCAGGTAAGCTTTAAGCAGCGCTCTCTCGCTTGCAGTTGCGCGCGCGACCGACAAGCGCACCACGCAGTACGCATACACTCATGGCTATGTTGTATCATGTTGTCATACGTTTTATGACTCGCCGCGCACGAAGTGCGCGGCTCCCCTTGTATCGTCAGGACCTAGTGAAACGACCGTGGGTGTCACAACGTGATACAAGTATCATATATGTGAATTTATAATATAATTTATATTTGAACTACATATTTCACTTCCTTTATTTTCCATTTGTTAATGAACTGACCCGGCGCACGCTACTTCAAAGCTTCGTGCCTCGAGTTTTAACATTCAAAGAAAAAAGCTCGGCGCGCGCTACTTCGAAGAAAGTTAGACGAGTATCACATAGCAGCCTTCAAATTTTTAAATAATTAACTTCAAATGCAAATGTGCAATATATTTTTACAAATAATGAATGAAAAGAATATTCAGTTAGGAGGATTCCGCCGCTTCGACGCGCCGCGCAAACTATAAGTATTCTTGCTTTGTATCGAAGCAAGATTGTTGACAAAATCGTTGACAAGATCGTTGACGAAATCGTTGACCATTGTTAATATGATCTGGCCCGGCGCGCGCTACTTTGTAGCACTTGCCATCGCGGGCCATTTCTAGAAGAAAGCGGCGCGGCGCGCGCTACTTTGAAGAAATTTTGATGAGTAACATCCTTCAACGAGATCGTTGACGAGATCACGTTCGCGTTGACGAGATCGTTGCTATGCTTCGCAAAGCAACGATCTGGAAGTGTTGACATCGTCAATCAATTCTAAGTTTGATTCATACAAAATAGTTTTATAATTTTATTTTTTTATTTTTTAGTGTGTAAAGTGTAAGTTTTTAACTTTGAACTTACCAAAACGCGCCGAGTTGGAGCAACAATTTTATGATCAGTATCACCCGCGGTAAATTCAAAAACGATATTGTCTAGTATTTACTATTTATAATACCTTCCGGGAATTATATCCACTAAACACTAAAACTCGTGGACACTGAGAGCTTATAATTTGCAGATATATCCCTCAAAGGAAGCGAATGTATTATCAGCATAGACTCAGACTGGCTGGCGGCAAGTTTCAAAACAAATAACAGTAACACTGGCGTTATATATATATTACACATTATATTGTCAATTGTATCATGCGCACGTATCACATTATATTATTACACCCCTTCCAATCGGAACCAGAATGTATCATAAAATATAATACTAGGTAGTGCGCCATCGACAGTGAGCCGCGCGTGCCGACTGTAGGATGGTTTTTTAGCGCTAATTTCGGCCAGCACAATTTTCTTCAAACAAATAGATATTAAGTATCCTTCCCGACCTCTGATTGCAACAAAAATTGATAAGCTTACTTATAGACTTACAAGGAAGGTGTCCGAAAAGTTTAAAGCATATCCAACCATCAGACATTATGTTACAGCTAAAAGCAGCGTATTTTGCCCCATTTTTATCACTATATTAACTCCGATATCCATGTCCACCAAATTTTTCGGACAGTTGTGAAAGCCCTATTGGAAGGTCGTCGCCAATTTTCAGAATGATCTCATTCAAGGAACTGAAGATATATCCAAATAATACGACAAAAATCAACGAATTTGGTCAAATTTGATCAAATTACGCGACTTTTACAGCTAATTTTGCTCCAAAAGCCGCGCACCATCAAATATGGCACCCAGGCGAAACTCACTGATCTTTCCAAAAAGGTATGACAAATTTGGTATTGTGAAAATTCTCACAGTCTCTAGAAAACAATGGTACAAAAATTTTTAAAATCCGTTTTTTTCCGTATTTTTATGGTGCACCTCCTAATAATACCTTCGCTGTTTCGTGCCTTCGTACCTTCAGCACTCAGAATTAAGCGAAGGTATTATAGTATTATATTATAATTTTCGTGAAAAGTACGATGTAAATGGTTAAACAGTAGCTTTTGTTAAGGTTTAAAAAATAAGTTGTTCGTGAATAACGTAATCTCAAACGATTCCCCGTTCAATTTACGTTTTAACTTATATTAGCGTAGAATCTCAATTGACGATGTCAATCCTTCACATGAGTACTAGCTTGACGCGGCCCATACCAATAGTGCATCGCCATCATGCTACAAGTACAATGCCAAATGCAGAATCAAGCAATTTAAATAAACATTTCATACATCATACATCATACGCGCTTACCTGGGGACCTCAGGCTATCATGTTCATTATAGAGATTCGGCGGAATGACAGGCTGAGCGCGGCCCAGTAACATACGCACAAATTAAACATTAACACTAAATAAAAGAATTGATCATGTTTCAAGAACAAAAATGATTTTAAGCATTATACTTATAATTTTCATTACACATAAATTTAACGCCCTATAAATGTAAATAACAAACCTCAAGCTTTATGTAATTTAAATTATAAAAGCCGCTGATCTCGTCAGTGGTGTGAGTATATATAATTATATAACGTGTGAACGTGTCTTCATCGGTCAAAAGGTTAGTTGAAAATTAGGTTGGAAGACGATTAGAATACTTCATATTCAATTAATATATGCTTTGAATTATCTCCTCCGTTATATAATAATTGTTTAAAAAATGACTCTACGTGTACTTAGAGTTAGAGGAAAAACATGAATAGCGTCCAAATATAATACAGTATTGAGAAATTTGCTTCAGTATTGATACAGTTGACAGTATGCATATATGTACGTGACATTATGAGTTGTATAGTATCAGAAATTAAGATCGTTAATAAACTATCGTCCTTTAGAAATATTAATCTTTTACGGTAACTTTAAAATATCAAACAAATTAAATCTATAAAGCTTATTCAGCTTAGTTATGAAAAGAAAAACGTTATCAAACTGACTATAAGTATAATAACCGGTGATATGAAGATTAGAATAAAGAATTGGACCTATCCGTGTAGCAGCATGTACGTTTATTTCTTGAGATAGGGCCCTGGCCCCTGAGGGTATGAACACAACCTAGATCGATGTATTTTACACGCTGATTCCGAATCACCCCATGACATAGGGTGCTTCCCTGGGGAGTTATGAGCAAAAAATTGTTTTGGCCACGTGACATGCCAGTTAAACGCAAATTCGACTGTTTCACCGTTACGGACTACGGTTAGTGTTAGAGTTACGATAAGGGCTAGGGTTAAGGTACAACCGTTTGTACCTTGACCCTAACCGTAAAAAATCAACACATATGAACCTACAGTTACACTGATAGGTCCAATTCTAATCGCCATCATAACAAGCGACCTGCGGCGATACAACTGATTAATGATTGAGTAAAATGATAAATTAAATAAAACTATCCTTCTTTCTCTTTCTCTGACTTTTCGGGTTCCCCCACTTTTTCACGCTCCTGATCCTCCTCCTCTGCAGGTGGTTCGGGGGAATTATCTGGTGGTTCATAATCAATATCTCCAAATTCTTCTTCCATGCTGACACAGCACACTACCATGAACAGTCGAATGCAGCAAACTATCATAGCGTTTTTCACCTGAATTACAAAAAAACTGATAAACTATTCTAAAAATGAGAGAAATTATATATAGTTGTACTGTACGCTTTAAAGAAATAATTAAAGAACATAATATTGTTACATAATATAACCTGTTCTTTGGCGTCGATTTTAACCGGATCACCCTCTTCTTTTTTGTTAATGTTCATGGTCGTGTCAGCTATGAATCTGAGATATTTTACTTTTAGTAATGTAATTTAAATAGGAAGGTAAGATATATACATTATACCTAGTGAAAGTGCTGGTGACGATGAGAAAGACCATAAACCAGGGATTCCTTCGGGAGCATGTAAGATTATATCCAAAGTTTGTTCGCCAATGGGGTGTGTCTGGGTGTCAAAGATCTTCAAGGTGGGTGCTACTTGTGATGAACTCTAGAAGGATGGGATGGTAATACTCGGTCTGGCCGTCTGGAAGCCCATAGAATTCCAGTTCAGAAACCGAGTAAGGAGGTGCGGCTACTGATGAGAAGCCTCCTTAAAGTTTATTTGGGTTAGAAACGACATCTGGGTCCCTACCCTCGCACAAGATTATTCTCAATTTTCTTGTTGTGTCCACAACTATACCGTTGATCAGAGTCACATCTGATGACTTCAGTGAAAGGGCTGATGACTTCAGTGAAAGAGCTGGTGACCTAGTGAAAGTGCTGGTGACGATGAGAAAGACCATAAACCAGGGATTCCTTCGGGAGCATGTAAGATTATATCCAAAGTTTGTTCGCCAATGGGGTGTGTCTGGGTGTCAAAGATCTTCAAGGTGGGTGCTACTTGTGATGAACTCTAGAAGGATGGGATGGTAATACTCGGTCTGGCCGTCTGGAAGCCCATAGAATTCCAGTTCAGAAACCGAGTAAGGAGGTGCGGCTACTGATGAGAAGCCTCCTTAAAGTTTATTTGGGTTAGAAACGACATCTGGGTCCCTACCCTCGCACAAGATTATTCTCAATTTTCTTGTTGTGTCCACAACTATACCGTTGATCAGAGTCACATCTGATGACTTCAGTGAAAGGGCTGATGACTTCAGTGAAAGAGCTGGTGACCTAGTGAAAGTGCTGGTGACGATGAGAAAGACCATAAACCAGGGATTCCTTCGGGAGCATGTAAGATTATATCCAAAGTTTGTTCGCCAATGGGGTGTGTCTGGGTGTCAAAGATCTTCAAGGTGGGTGCTACTTGTGATGAACTCTAGAAGGATGGGATGGTAATACTCGGTCTGGCCGTCTGGAAGCCCATAGAATTCCAGTTCAGAAACCGAGTAAGGAGGTGCGGCTACTGATGAGAAGCCTCCTTAAAGTTTATTTGGGTTAGAAACGACATCTGGGTCCCTACCCTCGCACAAGATTATTCTCAATTTTCTTGTTGTGTCCACAACTATACCGTTGATCAGAGTCACATCTGATGACTTCAGTGAAAGGGCTGATGACTTCAGTGAAAGAGCTGGTGACCTAGTGAAAGTGCTGGTGACGATGAGAAAGACCATAAACCAGGGATTCCTTCGGGAGCATGTAAGATTATATCCAAAGTTTGTTCGCCAATGGGGTGTGTCTGGGTGTCAAAGATCTTCAAGGTGGGTGCTACTTGTGATGAACTCTAGAAGGATGGGATGGTAATACTCGGTCTGGCCGTCTGGAAGCCCATAGAATTCCAGTTCAGAAACCGAGTAAGGAGGTGCGGCTACTGATGAGAAGCCTCCTTAAAGTTTATTTGGGTTAGAAACGACATCTGGGTCCCTACCCTCGCACAAGATTATTCTCAATTTTCTTGTTGTGTCCACAACTATACCGTTGATCAGAGTCACATCTGATGACTTCAGTGAAAGGGCTGATGACTTCAGTGAAAGAGCTGGTGACCTAGTGAAAGTGCTGGTGACGATGAGAAAGACCATAAACCAGGGATTCCTTCGGGAGCATGTAAGATTATATCCAAAGTTTGTTCGCCAATGGGGTGTGTCTGGGTGTCAAAGATCTTCAAGGTGGGTGCTACTTGTGATGAACTCTAGAAGGATGGGATGGTAATACTCGGTCTGGCCGTCTGGAAGCCCATAGAATTCCAGTTCAGAAACCGAGTAAGGAGGTGCGGCTACTGATGAGAAGCCTCCTTAAAGTTTATTTGGGTTAGAAACGACATCTGGGTCCCTACCCTCGCACAAGATTATTCTCAATTTTCTTGTTGTGTCCACAACTATACCGTTGATCAGAGTCACATCTGATGACTTCAGTGAAAGGGCTGATGACTTCAGTGAAAGAGCTGGTGACCTAGTGAAAGTGCTGGTGACGATGAGAAAGACCATAAACCAGGGATTCCTTCGGGAGCATGTAAGATTATATCCAAAGTTTGTTCGCCAATGGGGTGTGTCTGGGTGTCAAAGATCTTCAAGGTGGGTGCTACTTGTGATGAACTCTAGAAGGATGGGATGGTAATACTCGGTCTGGCCGTCTGGAAGCCCATAGAATTCCAGTTCAGAAACCGAGTAAGGAGGTGCGGCTACTGATGAGAAGCCTCCTTAAAGTTTATTTGGGTTAGAAACGACATCTGGGTCCCTACCCTCGCACAAGATTATTCTCAATTTTCTTGTTGTGTCCACAACTATACCGTTGATCAGAGTCACATCTGATGACTTCAGTGAAAGGGCTGATGACTTCAGTGAAAGAGCTGGTGACCTAGTGAAAGTGCTGGTGACGATGAGAAAGACCATAAACCAGGGATTCCTTCGGGAGCATGTAAGATTATATCCAAAGTTTGTTCGCCAATGGGGTGTGTCTGGGTGTCAAAGATCTTCAAGGTGGGTGCTACTTGTGATGAACTCTAGAAGGATGGGATGGTAATACTCGGTCTGGCCGTCTGGAAGCCCATAGAATTCCAGTTCAGAAACCGAGTAAGGAGGTGCGGCTACTGATGAGAAGCCTCCTTAAAGTTTATTTGGGTTAGAAACGACATCTGGGTCCCTACCCTCGCACAAGATTATTCTCATTTTTCTTGTTGTGTCCACAACTATACTGCCACTGGTATTGATTCTCAGAGTTCGGACTAAAAAATGAATAAGTATAAAACGTTAAGTGGACTCAGGTTAAAACAAAGAAGGCTTAGTATTGAACAGCTTAAAACTAACCCAAAAGGCAAATTGAGGCTTTGCTGAAGAAAGTGCTCCAAGAACCCCCTCCTTTTTGATCCTTTTGTTCTGATTAGAATGAGTGTTTTTTGTCTGTTCATTTCTCTGACTCTGCAGTAACAGGTATTAGCGTTAGAACGAAAGATTTGTAATCAATAATATATTACAATACCTGTTTTAGTATTACAGATCATACCCTCTTTAATTTTCAATCTAACCAGACTCCGAATTAAATTCTGTTTCATGCAGGTTGAATGAAGAACTGTGATTCAAAAGTTTTAGAATAATTTACCTTATCGAATATAATTTTACCGGACATTCCGTGAACGGACAAAATTCTGACCGTAGTGGAATACTGATGGAATACTGAGAGTGGAAAACTTTTGGGACCAAAATTTAAACGAACTTTGACTTCATCTAAACGGACATAAATATGAACGCTAGGGCCTCCAGCGTCCACTTAATGTACGTTCCAATAAAGTCGGATAATGTAGAATAATATTTGCCTGATTTTGTTAAGGCAAACCCTCTTCCTAGGCAGGTTAGAGGGTATACACAGGATGTGACCGTCCTTCTCTGTCATCATCATCGGGGTGTAGATCTCGTTCAGCACCTGAATATTCATATTTCGTACATTACTAGCACCTGAATATTCATATTTCGTACATTACTAGCACCTGAATATTCATATTTCGTACATTACTAGCACCTGAATATTCATATTTCGTACATTACTTTCTATTGTGTGGACTAACATCATCATCCCATTCTTATCCTACGAAGCCTATCAACAAAATTTAACTTCGCTGATTACACTTCAGATTGTGACGCTCATCTCACTAAGCAAACTATAAAGTAAAAAATTAACAAGTTTCAGTATTGACCTTGTGAGGATCTTCGTTTCCAATGTACTCCTCCCAGTGCTGTTTTAAGGTCTTATTAGTGTACGTCAGTATAGATCCCCGCTTAGAGGCCTTTCTCTCCGCTTTCTGAAAAGTTTATAAAGTAGTCGTCCTGTGTTTTATTTTGCAATTACTTTCCAACACTAGTTGGTTCTCCAAGATTACAGATTATGAAAAACAGAAATTTTATTCGGCTTATAGCTGTATAATTTATTCTACGATCGAAGATCAAAAAGTGAACAATATGAATATGGTTAATCTATTGTCAATTTAATGCGGACATTAATTGGTTAGATAATATTAATAAATGTCTGATATTTGTATCACAGAACTAAAAATAACAATAAATAAGGCTGGTTTACAAAAGTCTCACAGTCAGTCTCACTGTAAACAAAGTAGAGCAATAAATTGATCAACCCTAACCGGGCAAGGATTCCATATTTAAGTTTGGAGATAATAATGATGTTGTACCCGATTGTTGATACGCGCTCTTTTCGGAAGTGAACTTCTTTCAATTTGATGGGAATCATCGTAGATTTTTGCAATTGTTCTATCAATTTGATGGGTAATAATTTTAGGTACCATCGACAACATAACAAGTACAACTGTACGACAACAGGCACGGCGCATAAATATTATTTAGCAGAGATTCGGCGTGTCATCAGGTGCTCAATAAACTGATTCGGAAAGTTGAGATCTGAAAGTGATGATTAGCACCTTTCTTCCGCTTTTAAGGCAACTTATTTTACCCCAATTTACTAATAATAATATAAAGACGACCGCCCTCAATTATTAAACATCTGTTTATCAACCCAGAAGCGTTGGCTATTTAACCTTTATTAATTATCAATTTTATGTTTAATTTATAATTATATCTATTACAAAGTTGTTAGAGTTTAGGGGGGCTTACATTTTGGATCAGACTGGGCGTCTTACTGGCTCCTATCTAAGGAAGTTATTTATGATTTGGAATGTACATGATAGGCTTCACCTCAGGGGTTGCATTTTCCGAATTTTAGGTATTTAGAAATAAAAAACGTTAAATTTGTGAATAATCCTGTCCAATTTAACGTTCGGTCGACGCGAAAACAATATTTGGATACAAAAGGCCCCGGGGGAGGGGGGCAAAAAAGAAAGCCTGATCTTTACTTAAGACATTAGAAAAATTTAAGGTGGGCGGCAAAAACAGATTCATTTTATATAAATATTAGCCAAACGTTGGGTTCTTCATTGGAGATAGAACACGATTGTTTAATATTAATTATTTACTTTTGTACGCATAATACCAAACCATTTGAACATCTAAATGTCTTGGCCCCTTCTGTTGGTACAAAATTATGTCTACCGAGGATGTCTATACAAATTGCCCGGAAATTCTAATAATCAAAGCAAGCTCCTCCTTTACCGGCAACCTTACTTTCACCCTGCTTAATTAATACAAAAATCTCAGAGTGATTATTATTTTCAGTAAAATAATATATTAGCATATCATTCAAAGTTTTATTATGAGCAATTTTGTACACTCAATTGTCATTTGTCCAAAGTAACAACTTATAGTGGCAGGGCAGTAATGGAGCAGTGCTACAGGGGTAACGCCAGGCCCTGGCGGTCAGGGTGACATGGCAGTATGGGGGCAGTGACAACAGAGTGACACGGCAGTAATCAGTATGGGGGTGGTGACACCAGGGACCAGGGTGACACGGCAGTATGGGGGTGGTGACACGGCAGTATGGGGGTGGTGTCACCAGGGTGACACGGCAGTGACATAACAGTGACAGTGGGGTAGTGATGAAAGACCCTTATAATAGAAAATAGAAATACCAGCAATCTTTGTTAAATGGTAATCCAGATTAAACAGCCAAAATTGGCATGCAATCTTTTAAAATGCTCAAAAGGGCTCCAACTTTTACATGGTTTTTAGCCCAAACAAAGTATCGACCATAAAAAGAACACAAAAATACAAATAAATTACGATTGAAAAGATTGAGAACCGAGATAGTATGACGATAACAAATACAAGCACCAGTAGTCTAGTGATAGGTCCCACACCATTTAAACAACATTTTACTCTTTTAACAAAATATTTCATATCTGGCGCTGCAAATGCCAAATGGTCCACAACTGCAATATTTCCATCTCTTCTTGAAATTTACCGAGAAAATAAAACGGAACGCAACAAAAAACACGCGAATGACCACTAAGTCACTGAAAAGTACTCTCAAAGCACTCTCAAACCTCTTCAGGAGTACAAGGTGAGTCGGATGAAGAGTAATCCTCCGAGTCGGAATATGAAGGTTCTGACTCATCATCACCATTACTCATTATCTCAGTTACTTCCTCCACCTCCATATTTCAATACTTTTAGCAGGAAAGCAAGATGTTTATTAAGAAGTATATAAATCTCAGCTGCAGGCTGGTATCGGATATTAACGAGAATTCCCAAGAACGGTAATAATGTCCACACATTATCACACAATATTAACGTACTAAAGTAGAAAGTAAAGGAATCGTGTGAAGTTTTATTATCTATCATTACAAAATGATATGCACACTCTGAGCATTATGCTCCATGAGTGACAAAGTTGCGGATGCAAAACGTTTTAACCATCAGCTAAACGACACTGTTTCCATTGTAAAAGCTGTAAACGTTAGTCATCTTAATTAAGGTACCTCCCTATTCTTATTTCTGTCAAGGGCCTTCGAATTATCCATCAATACTTATTGTCAAGATTATTTAACAAAAGCAATTTAGGCCCAAACAATTACAAAACACTATTAAATGTGCATACACGTGCATTGTACGAGCAAACGAGTGCAATTTATCATTATCAGTTAGGAAATTGCACCTTACAATCTTTTGATCCCCTTCCGCGGTTATTTGTCCTCGTGACTCTTTACAACCAACCACAACATACCTTTTCAGTGTTTATTAAAATACGGCCCCAACTGCATTGTTTCCAGAACCAGTCAAAGGGGCCACCTTCAAAATCTAAATTAGTTGCTAAAAGTAAACGGAAAATAAAAATATATAATCTCTATTTTTATCAACACTACTACAGATCACATGTATGAGTTTCCTGCAACTTTGAAGGGTTTGATTGTACGTTATTTTACTATTTTTCAGAGTGCAAACAAGAGTGAGAACTGATTGAGAAGCGGAAACCCTTCCAACCTGAAATAAAATAACTTTTTACTTAATATGATACCTTTAACTGATATTCTACAGTTTGATCCACTATCTTCTGGCTCGATGACATGTTGTTAAGGTCGGGAGAGCTGAACCTATCACCTATACTCGATCAAAGCAACAAGAACCCTCAATAAAACATGATCGCAAATAACAACTAATGCGATGTAGAGTCCTCAGCTAAGTAGAGGACAACTAAATAGTAATAAGGGGGTAGTAGTAGTAGTAATACTACTGATTATAGGGGCTGGTAGTAGTAGTACCCCTAAGTAGAGGTTGGAGACTGTGAAACTACAAACTAAGGACCCTATAATCCCTATAATGACACACCTGCACACATTTCCAGTGTCTCCTGCGGTTAAGTCTAGGGTGACAATAAGAGCAGTAGAGCTGGGCAAATCAGCAGAAATATTTAAAGTGTTATCAAATTATGATCATTATAGCAGCAGATCGCACGTGTTTCCACTTTCCATCTACTGATTGTTGAAAGTTCGTAGGATTCACATGCCTTACTGAGATACTTATAAAATTTAAGAACATAACTATGCAATTATAATTTATTTGTAAATTATAGTTTGATAGTTGGTGACGAAGTGAGAGTCTCCACACAGTGTTTCAAAACAATTAGTTGTCGATGTTTCGGCAACACACCTTTGTCGTAGACAGGACGTTACAATAACTTACATAGGCTGCAATTTACAATGTTAAAATAATTTATCAACATTTAAACATTGAAAATTGCAGCTATGTAAGTTATTGTAACGTCATGTCTATGACAAAAGTGTGTTGCCGAAACGTCGACAACTAATTGTTTTGAAACCCTGTTGTGGAGACTCTCACTTCGTCACCAACTATCAAATTATATGATCGACCCACTCATAAGAGCGAAGAAAGATTACCATAATTTGTAAATTGTTGCTATTATCATTAACTTCATCTCAGCAATTTTCCTTACAAATTCACGGAACCCGCTTATGGAAGGGATAAAATCCTGGTCAAGATGAGAAAAAGAACACGACTTTAACCATTTATGAAGTATCGTTAACTAGCAGTAGTTATTATAAAGTTGAGTAAAGTAAACGTAAAGTAAACGTGAGTATTGTCAGTCTTTACTCTTTACACGTTGGTGGCTATAAATCTTGTAAGGGACCTTTTTTATCTTTTTTTTTTAGAGAGGCTGGGCCTGGTTGGCCCACGAGAGGATAGCATATGAATGCTTCGCCTACCTCTGGGGTATGACAGTCCTGTGGGAGGATGCCAGTGGAATCAAGATGTGTAATCAAGGATGATGGTAAGTGTTGTGGGGTGTGTCATAGATAAACGCTTAAGTGGTGGTTGAGTGTGGAAGAGAGAGGCGAAATAAGACGGCGTTGTAAGGGACTGTTTGTTAATATAATATAATATAACGGAATCCAGTTCATAATCATGGGGAGTTAGCTATTACCATCATGTGTATAATAGTAATAGCGGTGGCATACCCCCACCCCGGCACCCCTCCCACCCCTCTTTCTTGGCGCCCCCTTTGGAGCTTTTTGTACCTCCACTTATATATTTCGCGTTGACCGAACGTTAAGTTGGCTGGGATATGGTATATTATGCTGCCAAATCGGACGATTTTTCGTTTTAAAAAAGAACTTCAATTCGGAAAAAGGCGTCCTGTGGTACGAGAAGCCTTTGTGATGTGACCTAATTGATGATAGAAGACACTTTGAATCAACTGATCAAGCTATAACATGTATAAGTTACTCAAACTAATCTACGTACCGCAGAGAACCATTCTTCCTCTATGAAGCGACTCCAGCTGAACGACATTGTAGGCTCACTTTATCTTACAAATAACAAGAAACTCATTCAAACTGCTGTAAACTAATGTCAGCGCTATAAAATAGAGTTGTAATAGACAGTCCCCGGAAGCCTCGTACATCGACCTTTATACATTGAGCCCTTATTTTGAACATGCCACGTGACTGTTACAGCTCTTCCTGAATCATAAAATTGTACTTCAATTAGTGACATATCTCAGGAGGAGGGGCCGCATAAGTATTTACAATACAAACCACAACCCAGCTACCATAATCTAGCTGAAGTGGGGTAGATAGGAAATCCTTGTGGTTATCTAGAGCTACTTGAATTATTGGCGGGTTTTTGTCGTGTTTATAACGTCTACAGTCGCCATAGATCACATATTTGCGACTCATTCGGGACAAACGGATATTTTCAATTCGTCGGACATGACTGATAATTTCATAGAAAGAGACGGATAATTAAATAAATAGCACATTTAATGACAGTTGACTTTATTGATGAAGGATGTTAAGCGAATACTTATGTAGTTTAGTCAGCAAACATACTTACAACTACACGTGAGGGACGAAAGTATAATTACGGTAAGTGGCGAAAGTAAAGTGACAGTAAACAGACAGTATACAGACAGTAAACAGACAGTAAACAGACAGTAAACTGACGTTAAAGATTTCACACACTCACTGTCAATAGCTCAATCTCCTCTTCTTCTACTTTCGCTTCTTGAGGGTTGTCTGCCAGGAACTCCAGAAACCACATACCAAAACAGGTTACTGTCTTCGTAGCAGGGAGGAGCTTCGGCTCCGTTATAAAGTTCATAAAATCCATCTTGATACACTGTACGGGTCGGCAAACTATAATTCTTACTCAGGGGCTATTGCTAGAAACTACAATTCTAACTCAAGGGCTATTGCTGAAAACTACAATTCTAACCCAGGGGCTATTGCTGGAAGTGGAAACTACAATTCTAACTCAGGGGCTATTGCTGCAAACTAAAATTCTAACTCAGGGGATATTGCTGCAAACTACAATTCTAACTCAGGGGCTATTGCTGCAAACTAAAATTCTAACTCAGGGGATATTGCTGCAAACTACAATTCTAACTCAGGGGCTATTGCTGCAAACTACAATTATAACTCAGGGGCTATTGCTGGAAACTACAATTCTAACTCAGGGGCTATTGCTAGAAACTACAATTCTAACTCAAGGGCTATTGCTGGAAACTACAATTCTAACCCAGGGGCTATTGCTGGAAGTGGAAACTACAATTCTAACTCAGGGGCTATTGCTGCAAACTAAAATTCTAACTCAGGGGCTATTGCTGCAAACTACAATTCTAACTCAGGGGCTATTGCTGCAAACTACAATTATAACTCAGGGGCTACCTATTGCTGCAAACTACAATTATAACTCAGGGGCTATTGCTGCAAATTACAATTCTACCTCAGGGGCTATTGCTGGATCACAAAGCAAACTACAATTCTAACTCAGGGGCTATTGCTGGATCACAAAGCAAACTACAATTCTAACTCAGGGGCTATTGCTGGATCACAAAGCAAACTACAATTCTAACCCAGGGGCTATTGCTGGAAGTGGAAACTACAATTCTAACTCAGGGGCTATTGCTGCAAACTAAAATTCTAACTCAGGGGATATTGCTGCAAACTACAATTCTAACTCAGGGGCTATTGCTGCAAACTACAATTATAACTCAGGGGCTATTGCTGGAAACTACAATTCTAACTCAGGGGCTATTGCTAGAAACTACAATTCTAACTCAAGGGCTATTGCTGGAAACTACAATTCTAACCCAGGGGCTATTGCTGGAAGTGGAAACTACAATTCTAACTCAGGGGCTATTGCTGCAAACTAAAATTCTAACTCAGGGGCTATTGCTGCAAACTACAATTCTAACTCAGGGGCTATTGCTGCAAACTACAATTATAACTCAGGGGCTACCTATTGCTGCAAACTACAATTATAACTCAGGGGCTATTGCTGCAAATTGCAATTCTACCTCAGGGGCTATTGCTGGATCACAAAGCAAACTACAATTCTAACCCAGGGGCTATTGCTGGAAGTGGAAACTACAATTCTAACTCAGGGGCTATTGCTGCAAACTAAAATTCTAACTCAGGGGCTATTGCTGCAAACTACAATTCTAACTCAGGGGCTATTGCTGCAAACTACAATTATAACTCAGGGGCTACCTATTGCTGCAAACTACAATTATAACTCAGGGGCTATTGCTGCAAATTACAATTCTACCTCAGGGGCTATTGCTGGATCACAGAGCAAACTACAATTCTAACTCAGGGGCTATTGCTGGATCACAACTCGATATAGCTGTCTGAAAATGCTATAAAACAAATAATGAGGTTTGTGAGGGAAGATGACGGCGTTACTGGCAGGTGACAGGTAATATCCGGATATTACTAATAGTCACTGGCATATTAAAATAAAGTTTAATAGAAGTAAGTGCATATTTAGCGTTATCTTGTTAGTTTATCCTGGCCAGGGACTTGTAATAATTCATTATGCTAGGGGCAGGGGCCGGCTGGGGGTACTAGGTCCTCAGTTTAGGGCTAATGAACGTTTAGACCAATATTTTGCAATTAATCGTCGTTTAAATATTACAGATATAATATCTAATAAAGTGATATTTTTATAGCATATGCCACTTAGGATCATAATGAGATTTGTGGAGGATAATAATTGCATAATTAAAATCTTGAAGTATTATTGTTCCAACTTACACCATAAAAAGTAAGTCCTCCTAAAAATGAGGCAGTCCTCCTGAAACTGCAAATTGCATGCATTGGGACAAATCCCCTATAATTATACTTAGCAGACGTCTCATCTTGGAATACTTTAGCATAAATTATTTAGTATTTTTTCGTTCATCTTCAATAATAACGTGAAATTTGGGGAAATTTACATACACGATTTTATTACTACGTCTCATGAACAGGATGTAGCAGCTGTAACAGTACTAATTTAAGTTACACTTCATAAACTCCCCTGATCCAGCTACTGCAACCAACAACACTGCTAAGCGCATCACGTCAGCAGTGTTTGTACACAAGAAGCGTGGGCAGCTCCCTACATTTCACCCAGATCACGTGACTCTAAACACGGCTTAACATTCTGCCAACAATCAATCTGCGCTAATTTCCTTTCATTTCGTTGGTTAACTCTGTAAGCTTTGAACATGACGAAGGGTGCAGTAACAACTGCAACATTTAATCCGGACACGATACCGTACTCCAACATAATCAGCCTTCTCCACCTGAACCTGCCTAATGTAGGGTACCCCATCACTAAAACCCACGTGGCAGGGTTATTCTGGGCAGTTGTACTGGGGTGGACCTCTCTGGGAGTGGTGGGGTCAGGACTGGTAGCAGATGTGTTAGCTGTAGTGTACCCCGCCTGTCAGAGCTATAGATGTGAGAGAGACAACACCTCCCCTTCTCAATGGCTTGCTTACTGGACTGTGTATTCTCTCTTCTTCATAGTAGAGTCAGGTAACCTGTTCACTCAGCTGGTCCCCTTCTACTACTCTATAAAGCTGGTTATAATGATGTGGTGTATGTATCCTGGTCCTGGTAATGGAGCTGCTGTTATCTACTCTGCGCTTAGACCTCTACTAGCCTTGTTAGATTCCCTCATGTCTGGTAACCATGGTAACTCCACTGCCTCCAGGCTCAGGAAGATTTCCTTTAACGAAGCTCCCCCGAGACGTGCTAGCAAGGAAGAGATGAAACATATGAAGGATGAAAAGCACGCTAAGCCACCCAAGGACGATCATGGTAAACATAAAGATGGGAAAAATTCACCGAAAGACAAACACAAATAACTAATTTTCTGCTGCCTATAGAATCATATTAACGTAAAAATACAATGAATTAGAGAATGATCATAGTCTATAATCACTATTACTACCCACTTGATGCCCATATAAGGAGTATATAGTTTAATTTTAAGTTTCTATCTTTTGTTTTGTCAAATTGAGTAATTTTCAATAGTAGAAATTTCCAAGCTAAAAGAATACTTTTTTGGGGATGTTTGATTGTTTTATTGTAAATTGATTGCGACGGTAAAAACATTTTTATAATTCACCGACGACAAAAGTTTAACTTTTTAGTAATGAAAGTCGTTTAAAAATTAACTTTTAGCTGAAAAAATAATAAAAGCTGATGATCCCGTTTACAGACAATCACAAAATACTTTCCTAGGATTTCAGGTATGAAATGGACCATGAAAAAGCCAAGGTTGAATCCAGAAACTGCGTTGATCGTGAAAAATGCTTTTGGAGATTTGGGCAAAAAAGCTTGGAGCTTTGCCAGCATGATGTTTCTGATAACCCTTAAGCCAGGTTAGCGACTATTTATGATTTTTCTCATTTTCAAACTGTTTCCTTTCTACTTATCTAGAGTATGATGGAAAACGTAGGGCTGGAAAAGCAATCTTTTTCGATCTAGGAGCAGATTTTCAAACTTCCCCTTCCTCTTCAGGGACTATGGATATGGTTGCTGGACACACCATGGCTATCTGCATTGCTACATTCATTTTCGCTAATTCTATCGGCTCGGTAAGATATGCAAGTTGTGAACCGTGAATTGCAAACTTTGCAAACCTTTAATCTTTTATTGTTAATAATGGATTTTAAATGACAAAACATGAAATTGCAAAACAGGGTATGACTTTGCTCAACGTGTAACCAACATTGGTCAAATTTGGTTAACATATTCAGTATCAGCAACAGTAATAAACTGAATTTATACTAACAACTATCCACTGATCATCCATATTCCCCTCAGTTAATAGACCGGATCCAAAGGTTGACTGCTATCCGGCTCGCTATAGGAGGGCAGGCTGTGGGAGTAGCTGTTATAGCTGTGATGGCTATAGCGGTCCAAGTGAAGGGGGATATACTGGAGTGTGTTCCAGTAGAACTTTACGCTGTTTTTACACTGTTAGTAAGTAAATTCACTACAAAGTAAAAACGAACAAAATAACGACAATACATAATTTGCGGTATTGTTGTGTCTTGTTGTTGTTTTAGTGGCTCAGTGGCTTAGTTGGTTAATCCGCTTGTCTACTGGTCTGAAGGTTGCGAGTTCGAAACCCAGTTGGGCCAAAATCTCAAAAACTGAAGGGCAGCCGTCACTCACCAAACCATGGTGTAAATGGTAGTGGCTTTCATTAGAGCTGCGAAAATAACACGAGTGCATATGCCTGGGCCAGCGTCCCGACTATGCTGCAGGGAAATCTGTACCGAAAGGACCGTGGCCGAGCGCTACACGAAAAGGAGATCGGCCCCTCGTTCCTAGCTTGCTAGGTTCGCCATGTTGTTGTTGTTGTTGTGTCTTGTTGTTGTTGTGTCTTGTTAAGAGCAGCTACCTGCTACAGTTGCTAGTAATAATCAGCACCCAATTCTGGGTATGAGTAGAAGTGTACACTTACAGTAAATAGTATCGTGTTATAGAGGAGGGTACTTATGTACCCTCTCAAATTACTGAAGCTGATTTATATTTTCAGTGTGTGATGGATGTAATCTCAAAGCTAGCTAAAGAGGCGAGTAATATAATCATAGGGCGAGACTGGATAGTGACTGTATGTCGTGGGGATAGGGCTAAGTTAGCTAAACTTAACGTATGGTTAACCAGGACTGACGAACTGTTTGGGATTGTGGCTCCTTTAGCAATATCTTTCCTCAGACAGGTATGATAATAATTCTTCAGCTCAATTAATATAAATTGATTTATAAAGATCGGGATTTCCAAAAGTAAGCAGTTGTAAGAACCTCCGGACGTATTTTCAGGTTCTGTCCATGATCCAGACGACCCTTATTGGAGCAAGCTGCTACTTTCTGTGCACGTGTATTCAGTACTCTCTGATAATGTACGTGTATAAACATGTTGAGGGAATCAGAGCTAGAGACGAGGGCAAACGACCCAAACGTAAAGGAAGGTTTGTTTATTTGTTAACATTTCCTTGCCTATTTTTAATAAAATGTGTGAAATTGAGGCTGTGAAATTAAAGACACTTGGCTTCACAGCTTTAAAAAACTCTATTTTCAGGCGAAAAAGTGGACAAAATTCGGAAGCTGCAATATCAGGGAGAGACGCTAAACCAAAACTAGAACTGAAAAATGATATCGAAAAGGCTGACAAAGATGTAGCTAACAGAAAAACTACCAATAAAGACAGGTTAGAGCGGAGTTGGTTACCAAGTGACTTACAAAGGGCACCAAACAACCAGGAGCAACGTGATGCCCATATAAGGGAACAACGTGATGCCCATATAAGGGAACAACCCGGTTATAGGAGGAGGAAACTGTCACCTGACCCTGCTGAAAAGTGTGATATTGAGGAAGACACTCAGGGCAAGGGTAACAGAGGAAGAGGAAGAGGGAGAGGAGGAGGGAGAGGTGATCACAAGAATAGAGCTACAGAGCAGCAGAACTCTGGTACTCCACCTGACTACCCTTCAGTCGAGGTTCGAGGAAGAGGCAAACATTCTAGAGGAAGAGGCGGGTTGAAGAAACCAGGGAATGACTCCCCCGGACAATTGTGAGTTATTTAAATACATAAAAAAGCTTGTATAATTCTTAAAAACGTTTTAATGATTGATCATTAGTCGACCAAAAAACCTTATTTCCAAAACTTCAGAAAGAAATCCGAGCCACCCAAACGACAGTCAAGAAAACCCAATGTGTTCAACCTGAGGGGGCTTCTGGACAACTTTTCCAAATTCTTCTCCTACCGAATAGCTCTGGCAGGAGTCTGCTCCTCCATGCAGCATCTGTCTCTGGTTACGTTCGGGATAGTTACTATGCTCTATTTGAGGACTCAAGGACTGAATTTTGTGTACTTGGGAGTCTCCCGTTCGTTGTGTGGGGTTATCGCTATCATCGCTTCCTTTGTCTACCCTTCCTTCGTAAAAAAGTAGGTTTACATTTATATTTAATCCTGTGCTTCGTCAAAAAAGAGAGTTTACAAGTTTATCTTACCCCGTCCTCCTACATCAAAAGCTGCTTAATCACTCTACACTCGAGATATTTCTTGAAACCACCAAGGATCGATTTGAAACGCTGATTCAAATCACCCTAAATCACTATATGATATAGGGTTAAAATGTTCCCAAAGCGAGTTATTGGCGACAAACTGTTTCGATCACGTGATATAACCATATAAGGAAGTTGGTATAGTCTATCGTTAGGCCAAATTTCGGCAAAGTAGACGGCAAAAAAGCTTCTCTTCAAAAATCTTCCAAAATCTGTTCTTCTATCCTGATGATTTACCGTTTATCAAAGCTTTCTTTGGGAATAGAACTTCCAGTACCTCAATCGTATCTTTCGCCATCCTCATTGACCTTGAAAGAAAAATTCAGTCAAAACTGTAAAAGTTGGGTCGTGGAAAGCTGAAAATGTCCTACCGGTAGGACGTTTTCAAAATTTTCCTTCCATCAAAGTTTTCTCCAGATATACTGCTTCCAGTACCTTGAGGGCGACTTGTGTCACTCTCATCGACCTCACTGATTGGTCACTGGTCAAAATGCAGTCAAAACTGCGAAATTTCGGTCAAGGAGACGGCAGAAAAGCTTTTCTGCAAAAATCTTCCAAAATCTGTTTTTCTATTCAGATGATTTCCCTTTATTAAAATCTTGTCATTCATGTGAATCCCTCATCTAGAGAACTTCTATAAATAAATCACGTGATAGTCGAGTGTAGAGTGATTTATCATCAACCTCACAAATTGTTATGTTTGATATTGAGTGGTGTTTGCCAGGAATGAATTAATTCAAAGGACAGTGACAAATTTATTTTTAGGAATGGTCTTGTTTTGGCCGGGTGGTTAGGATGCTGTATTCAGTTCATTGCATGTTTTGGTGCACTTATCTCAATGTACCTACCCGCCTACGAAATTGCTTCAAGTATGTAAATTGGAGTTCTCTTTGAATAAGAAATATGTTGGGTTTGCATCACGAAGAATTGCCACTTTAAAATGAATTACCGCTAATTTCAATATCTTCCCTACTACACACTCTTCTTACTTCACACTTTTCAGGTTCAGCAGCCGGTGTTTCAATTGACAGGTGCTTTGTAAAAGTTCCGATCAATGAATCCTACCCTCTTCTAGACTACGACTCTAAGTTCGGGGTGGTTGATGATAACTTCTACCTCGGAGATATGACTGAAAGGAAAGACAGAAACAGAAATGGAACAATGCCTGATAATGTCAGGGTGATAGGGTTGCGACCCACCAACAATTTGAGTAGCCATATTCTACCTAAAACTCGTCCGGGACCCGTTAACATAAGTGTGTCCAACAACACAGACCAGAAACCTCCTAAAGGTTTTTTAAAAATTTACCATTTATTTTACTACAGCTAGTTTTTATTGGCTTTGCACCTAATAATGATTATTATAACCATGTCGAAATTAATACTGTTTATTATCAGGTAAAAAGAAACCTCCTCCCAAAGGAGGACGAGGTGATGACACTAAAGAACGAGGTGGTCCTAAAAATAACACTAAAAATACTGAAGAGGACAAAATGTCACCTTCATTAGCTGCTTTTGTACTACTAGGTAGAAACATTAAACATGATACACAGAAGTTATTTATCAAAAAATTATCAAATATTATTTACACATGTACATTCAAAATGTAACTCAAAATCACTCCAATAATCCAGAGAGATTATTAGAGCAGATAGTGTTCTCGTAGATAGTGTAGCTATTGCACCTCGAATAGCTAGAAACATCCAGTATTCTCTCATTCTCCTCTGGTAGATCCCCCGTAATGAAGGTGTGGTTGAGAGCTTGCTCAAATGTTAGCCTGTCTGCAGGTTTCCTCTGCATCATTCCTCTTATGAGATGCCGAGCAGAGTGGGACAATAGATCAGGAAAGAAGAGGTTAGCTTTAACAACGTGCTCCTCGCTGATGAAGGGTAGAGCTCCAGTCAGGGTCTCGAATAGAACTACTCCGCAAGACCATATTGTGGTAGGTTCAGGTCTGTAGGCTGCTCCGATCTGCCATTCAGGAGGAGAGAAGGCTGGGGTACCGTGTCTGCCTGTAAACTGATCCTTGTCTGCGTACACAGCAGTACCAAAGTCTATAATCTTGATGTGGTAGGTGTAGAAGTTTATGAGGATGTTCTCTGATTTAATATCTCGGTGGAAAATGAGAAGTTCGTTCAGGTAATCGCACACTGTTAGGAGTTGTTGGGCGATGTAGGAACCAACTGCGTCGTTCTGAGGGCCATATTTCTCCACAAAAGCTCCAACATCCATAGAAGATAGGGGTCTTTCCAGAACTAGGGCAAACTTGGATTTAAACTCGAATAGATCCACTAAAGAGATGATGTTGGGGTGCTCCAAGGTATTTAGAAGTACTGCTTCTGAAGGTAGTTTCTTTCCATCCACCATCAGAGTAGATTCCACATCCTTCCTCTTCACGTATTTCACTGCAACACTTCGGAACGTGAAATTATCCGTAGCTTCCACGATCTGACCGAATGTTCCAGAACCAAGGGATTTTCCGAGGGTGTACTTTGAGAGGAACTCTTTCTTGCTGTAGGACTTGAGAAAGCGAGTTGGACTGATTCCCATGATGAGGATTGAGTAGCTAAGTTCGAGATAAAAGTAAAATATAGAGTTGATTGATTGATAGAGTGGAAGTTAGTCACTACATTAAGTAGTAATCTAATGTGTTCGAGTTCTTGGCCTGATAGTTCGTCAGGACTTGATAGTTCGTCAGTGCAGAGGTGTCAGTCATGAAGTTGGTGACATGTTTCAGAGCCAGATAGGTGTCAACTATCTGGAGATCTGATGATATGAGCCGTACGGTTGATCTGACCCACATTCTTGGTGTCAAGGTAATGATACACAGAGAAATTAGAGGTTATCGGAGCATCAAAAATAACCGACTGAAAATACTCTGAAAAATTTTAAAACCCCTTTGTCTCCCCTTTTGAAAAGGGGAGACAAAGTTCAGAAAATACTAAATTTATAACAAAAATTTATTAAATTTAAAACATTTTACACAATACTGGGTAACCTCATAATTCGTTAGGATCCCTTCTATTTGGGAGATTTGGAACGACTCTCTCAAAGGTTTCAATACATCAGCTGTACCAAGAGGAAGTTCCAAGACACGAGAGAGGTAAGACATGACAGCTTGATACATTAAAACCCCGATTTACCGCGGAGTTTGAGGAAAAGGAACCATCCGGGTAAATCGGGGTCCGTGGTAAATCGGATTGTGTTTGTTAACACTATAAATGTTAAGCCCTATTTTGGGAATTTACCGCGGTAAATCGGGGTTTGCAGTAAATCGGGGTTTTGCTGTACTTTATTTGGGCATGTTTCAAGAGCGCTAGCTTGCTGGCTGTTCTACTAATATCTCCAACCCAGGTATGATAGCGGGTGTCCAGGTAACAATGAACACTTTCTTCACTACAATCTCAATGTCCCTGGTGCTCTACGCTAGCACCCCGACTAACTTCATCTACCTGGTGTGGATGAGCATTGTGGTGGAGGCTGTCATCTTCATTTTGTATTCTTACTTCGCTTACAGCTACACTTTCAGAAGAGGAGGTCTGTTGATATAACACGTGGTATCAGTTAGTACGATAAGTGATATTATGTGGTGCATGGTAAATTAAACATCAGGCATTAGCAGTTTGCTGCACTGCATGGTACAATTACGACTTTAGTTATAGCTAAATCATATTTAAGACCTAACTAAGTCTTACATACGCTGTTTTGCAGCAAAAATGATAATTAACCGCACGTCACTCAGGAATCAGTGATAGAGAGGGAACACAACCTAAAATTTTAGAGGAAGATGACAACGTCACTATAAGTCTGACTTCACTGACTCTTGAAGATGGTCACGAAGAAACACTAGAGCTTCAGGAAGATTCTTTGAGCACAGAGAAATGTCCCATATATCAAGTGTAACTGGTGGACACATTTATCTTGTCAATACCGGGTTTTTAAAAGAATTTTTGGATTACCGGATTATTTTTATGATCACATGGACCACTAACTAATACAAATGTGAAACATCGGTATACAATTCCCATTTTGCACTGATCAAAGATGAAACTTTTTAATTATCTTTTCGATATATTTACATACCGATACATCTTTCTACCTTTATTGGTTTCAAACAGTTACACTTTAATCAGAGGGCATTGTTCAGTGTATTTCTTATGTGTGTTCGCTGAATGTAATCGAACTCTCGAGTCTCGAAGTATTGTTTATATCACGCCAAGTAATTAACTTATGATTATGAAACATGTGGACTAATAATATAAGGAACCGCATATTACGTTCACCTTTGCGGCGTCATGCCAGCTTAGGACTAAGGGGATTTGGAGAAGCTTGGAACTTGTACACAATTCACAAGTGGCTTAGGGAGGAGAATGGGAGTCTAAAATGGCCAGAACATACGTAATATGTAAACGATCCCTAATATGAACACAATTCTACGATACTTTCATTTTGTATTATCACATGCTAAGAAAAAGACTTTTACTTTCAAACTACCAAGAGATTGATTTGAAACTGTAGAACTCATTTAACTAATACAGTAAGACCAATATTTTCCGTAAACCCCTATTTGCATTACTAGTGCCTCTTCCCTTTCGCCAGTATTTAAATTTTTAGTTTGATATCATATTAAAATGATATCACATTATGATCCTTTGAAATATAAATCGGTCGGTATATTATCGGCTTTTACATAAACCTTAACGGTAACCCCAACTGTGGCTGCAACCCCGAAGATAACCATAAGCGATAACCCTTGCCCTAATCCTAAACAACCGAATTTGCGTTTTTAGCCTGTCAAGTGTCACGTGACCAAAATAATTTTTGCTCACAACTCCTCAGTAAAATGTTTTTATCCTATATCATGTCACTCACACTGGACAGAACAGGAACTCAATGCTGGAGTGGGCCGGTGGCACGTGTCTCTGACGCGCTACTACCTGGCGGTGGAGATGGACATTCTTGGCCTGGTAGCACTCTAGCTCGGAACCCAACCCAAGTAACCCAAGTAAGTAACTCTGAATCAGCTACTTCAGTTTCAATTGTACATTCAGGGCCCTTTCACTAGAATTTTAAAGGATTTGGGGCTTGGGCGAGCGAGTGATTTAGTGGAAGCGAGTGACATGATTTCTGCCGTTCCCTGAGAAAACGCATTAAGTCCATTTTTTCGAAATTTTGAGATATTGGTACCAAAATTTTCAGGAGAAGATTCTCTACAACTTAAGCTATGAATCAAGTTATCAAAATACTGTTTTAGCTACCGCCAAAGGCATTAAGTCACACAAAACGTGAATATTTAGCTCGTTATTCTAAAACCTTCCCTGAGAAAAGGCATTAAGTCCATTTGTAATGCCTTCTCTGAGGGAACTTTTTCTGTTCCTTGAGATTCCCTGAGAAAAGGCATTAAGTCCAGACTTTATTTGCAGTTTTTATAGTTTTTGGCCTATAACTTCCACAGTTTTAGTTATATCGAAACAATTTTTATGTGGTCGTAATCAGCTCAGCAAGCAAACAATTTTGGTACTAATATTTCAAAATTTAAAGAAATATTATTTTCAAAATTTTTAAACCTGAACACAAGGGTCCCCCCTTGTGTGAATTATTGAAACATTTTTTGAAAAATTTGGTGCTTTAAATATTGTATGTTTAAATATTTGTACCCAAATTAATGCGTCTGACCGAGCTGAATACGATGCTGTAAAAATTATTCCAAAAGTGGAGCTGATCTCTGCAAAATGAACTACCACAGTAAACTTAGTAACGCCAGCACCGCTATCAACACCTGGAGTAAGAGAGACTTAACTCTGATAGGAAAGTGTACAATTATTAAATCTCTTATTCTTTCCCAGTTCACTTACCTTATCATACCACTAGAAACTCCTGATACTAACACCATCAGTAAAATAGACACTATGATATTTCACTTCTTGTGGGGTTGTAAGAGGGATAAGTTGAAACGTGATATTGTTACTTCTCCTCGTGAATGTGGAGGTCTAGGTCTCTTCTATACTAACGATTTTATTATAGGTTTAAAAGTGTCACTTATAGGAAAAGTTATCGATCCTAATTTCCAACATGCCTGGAAAAATATTATCATCAATCAGCTTTTACACCCAAATATACCAACTGTGTGTATAGAAAACTGTCTCACATTAAAGAATACTGGTTTTACCTTTAACCTTCTTCGCCAGTATAAGCTTTGGAAGTCTATTTCTTCACAGTCAAGTAAGAGTACAGTCAACCACTGTGTGTGGGGAAGCGACGTAATAACGGACATTGGCTCCAAGCTCTGGAACGATATTCTTATTGATAGAAATATCATCTATCTTTCTGATTTCGTTTCAGAGGAAGGTAACCTCTTAAGTTTTCAGCAATTTCTGAGAAAGTGGGGCCAAACAAGTAGTATAATCTCTTCGACTCAATATGCGAGTATAAAATTGGGAATACGTCGATTTAATAATACCGATACGTTTACAAGTAACATTACATTTATCGATACCCAACTTTCACTTCGCTTTTGGGGAGGTAGGAATACCCCCAACTCTAGAGATACTCCTCTCACTATCAAAGGTAGAAACATTAGAGATACCATGTCTAAGCGTTTAGATCCCAGCACCCTTCCTCCAATGAGGAACTGGAGTGCTAACCTCTCCTTAACGGATATTGATTGGATTAGTATTTTTACGGATATTTTTACTTCTTTCTCAAATAACTTCAAACTTATTCAGTACCAATATAAGCTCCTTCACCGGATTAGTACTTGTCGGTACATGAGATATAAAATGAAGATTGAAAAAGATAGTCCAAATTGCTCGTTATGTAGTCACAACCTCGAAACTATCTCTCACATATTTATTGACTGTCCAGCCACAAGCTCTTTCCTACAGGGAGTAAATCTGTTTATTAGATCGAATATTGACGCAAATTATGACGACCCATATCGCCACTATTTGATTTGCTTAAATCACAGAGATAAAAGTGTTAACTTCATAAATTCGGTTTGCTGTTGGTTTATTGGAAGGAGTTTCCAGAACAAGGAACCCCTATTCTGGGAGCGATATCTTAAACATCTTAAGCTTTTCTTATTAGGTGAAAAACCGGATATTATACGGTGTCTTAAAGACGTTATACCTTGATGACCATTTTATACCCAAAGTTCTGGATCCACTATACACTCTTGTTTATATATTCTCTCGAAATTACAGCCGTGCCTTACCTTTACCCTTTATTTCACAAGTTGTAGCCAGTGGAGTTATCTCCACTACTAGTATTGATATAGAGTCATATTTAAAACCAGTAGTATCTCTCCTTTTTCTCTCCATCTTATGTGCATTTTATTACTCTATATCCACTGACTTTATTCGACGTATTATCTAAAAGAATAAAAAAAATTGTGTGCGTGTGTTTTTATATTTATTTTGCTACGGCGCATGTGAAACCCCAGGGCATCCAGCACCGGAGAAGCTGAATTGACACTCTCTGAACCCTTGGTGCCGCTCAGATTTTGCCTCTTGGCTGGCAAGCCGAGTCTTGATCGATTAACTCAGCTTCTTCGGTACAACACAGACCGGAGGGTACTATTAGCCGCTTTGCCGGTGGTATCCTCCTGGTGTCCTGGGGTTTGGCAGGTTCCTCATTAAAAAAAAAAAAAAAAAAAAAAAAAAAAAAAAAAAAAAAAAATATTGTATGTTTAAATATTTGTACCCAAATTAATGCGTCTGACCGAGCTGAATACGATGCTGTAAAAATTATTCCAAAATATTTGATGTTTAAGAAGTTATAGGCATTTTGAGCGAAAAATTATCCATTTTTCGTCAATATTACTTACTTGCAATGCACAGGAGGCCCACATAATTATATTGCAAAGATATGATCAAAAATATAGAAATATTGTATTTTCTGTGTTGACTTTATCTGAGAAAAAATGGACTTACTGCCTTTCTAGAGAGGAATCGGTTGAAATCGATCCTGATAAAAGGCATTAAGTCCGCAATTCCCTCAGAAAAGGCATTAAGTCCAATGCGGATGGGAAAATAGTTCAGTTATTCTGGAGGAAAATGGTTTCTGTAGATCAGTGTTGGTGAATTTATGCTTTTAAGCATGTTTAGGACATATGACAATAATTCATTTACAAATAGATGTCAAAATTAACCCCGTTTATGCGAATAAAATTTCTTAAAAAACGACTAACACGTTTGTCCCATTTTCTCAAAATGACATCGATGTGACTTAATGCGTTTTCTCAGGGAACGGCAGATTAGATAGGTGTTTCACTGTTGTATTTCGAGAGTAGAGCTAGATCAGAGCTCGATCTAGAGCTCTAGCTTGACATGACGCGCGCACTATTTCTTATCCACATTTTTGCGCAAACCTTATCATATAAGATTTTGATGCGCGTTCCGTATAGTAAACTCTTTTAAATTAGAGCAATCCGATACTATAAATTTAACTTTGATACGAAGTTATTTCATTTTATCTTATTTTGAAAGCCCAGTCATGGCAACAACAAACATCATATAACTCGTTTGTCTAGGAAATAAAGATCGTAAACGGAATCCAACTGACTTGAGCATGTCTTCAGTCCAGCACAAATGGATCATGCAGCTCTTCAAACAGTTACTTACGCTATACTAATACAGTTCACCAGAATTCAATTAACTTACTGTCTGCAATTATGACTTGTGTCTTATTTCCAAAGTTTAAGCAGTTTCAAGTCTCATGTTTCAAAGTGCCCAGCTGAGTTACACTGAGTTACTGGAGTTACCACGCCCTCAGTTCACACTAACCACTCATCTCAAACTAACGAGAGGGAGTTATACACACTAGCTGTGTGTGGTAGCAGATCTCTTTCTTAACAGCTATTGTTCACTATTCAGTGGAGAAAACATTGGCTATATTGCTTTATTTAGTCGGTGTGGCTCGGAGACAGTGGATAACTTCTTATTTTTTTACAGTATAATTAATGATCTCATTATTCGGCCAATAACCATTAAAACTCAATATTATGATCAAAGCAATTTAATTTGCTTCGTCGATCCGATCTTTAAATATCGCAACTAACAGTAATATTAAAATACTCTAAACTTCTCCGGTCATTTCTTAAGGGAAATATGAGGTTAATTCCTTAAAAATAGCTGGTTAGAGTTTTAATTAAGCGCAAAATCTCATATCTGACTGAAAATCAGATTTTTTAATAACCAGAGACAAACTTGTTATATATGTGCCAATCCAATAAATCCTATAAATAAAACGTACACATACGATTCTGTCAATATGAGATGAACGGGAAAATTAAAAGCCTCACTATGTGAAAATGGCCGTCAGAAATAACCGAAAGATTAGAAATCTCAACTTTGGAATATTTTTAATTCTTGAAATAACCCCATTGAAAATCTAAATATAGAATAGAAACTAAGTTTACTGATTTAATATCAAGTAAGATAAAATTCTAAAAGATAATACATAACAATGATTTAAAGCAACATTAAAATTTTTAATTTTTAGGGTATATTTTGTTTTCATTGGCAATCAAAAAATAAATCGCCATTAATCTGAAACATCTCTGAGAACATTTTGGTAAAACAGCAATTTAGTGGTCATATCATTTTAATTAATAAAAATCTACCGAACGAAAGAAACTTTACGGTTGTATATTATCCGCGGACTTCTGAGCTTCTGATAAAAATATCAGCCAACAAATTACTCTTGAAAAGTGACGACTTTTCTTAATGAAATATAAATTAATGGCGCATCCTATTGATGACCACGTCTTATTAAACTAATTAACCAAGATAACCGTACCTAACACGCATACTGTTATCAGAGGGCATTACACTAAACACCACTCAGTCAGGCTCACAAGGGGTCGCCAGGTTTCACAGAGTTTGAAATATCTTACCAGATCAGATCTCAGCACATAAGAAGGAAGCAAACTAAAAGACACATCCTTATCCGAACTTTTAAACAATCAAACAAAAAAAGCTCTGTACAATGGAAATGATTACAGATCAGCTTTCAGTTGGTTAAAACCAATGAGCTGTCAGACATGGGCCGAACCTTAACGTCCCTGGTGGAAACGTCAGTTAATTCCCGAGCTACCCCCTCACTCTCAGTTTGTTCTCTACTCTCAGTATGTGCGGGGTGTGTACCACCCTTCCCACTATCCACCTCCCTTACGTCATCATCACTACCAAAGTTTAAGTTCTCTTCTAGAGAAGATGTCTGTTGACGATCCTGCCCTAGAGAAGATGTCTGTTGACGATGTTGCATAACGGTGGCTATCCTCTCGTCCCCCTGCTGCACAATCTGGACCGGTTCGTCCTCAAAGTGAGGCCCCTCATCAGGCCCCTCATCCGGTGAGGGAGGGTTGTGAGAGGGGGGCTTGAGCGCGGAGGAGGGTGTCAGGTATTGGTTGCCTTCTGTTAGATTATTTGGGATGATTGTTTGCTGACCTCCCCCCCGTTTATGGGCGTGGCTCCTCCCTTGGTTTTCACCTGCAGTTACAAAACTTTTATAATTATATGTCGACTCAACTCAATAACATACATGTATTAACTGATTTATCTCAATTCTTATTCAACCATTTAGGAGAAATAATAAAGTTTTTTAAATCACATGGGAGGAAAAATAAAATGTTGGTTGTACTACTAGTTGAGTAACATGCAATATTAGAATGAAAACAACAATGTTTAGAAGGAGTACAGCCAGCTATAATAATAAGCAATCATTCCTGAGGAGTCAAGTGAACTTCTGCGCACGTGCACTTCTGCACACGTACACTTCTGCGCACGTGCAGATTTGTTTTAAGCTTGCAACCATGCCGAATATTTGACAGCTTCAGCAAAAATTCACCTCATAACTATGAAAATCTTCAGAGAAATTTAGATTTGATTATATTCATTTTGATGTACAGATATAGGAAAGGACGATCAACAATAAAAAAGCAGATAACTGATCTAACGTCCTAATCAAAAAGATCTACTCTTATTTTTTCTTTTAAGATCACTCTGTACTTAGTAACTGATATATTTAATTGTCCAATCAGTATTAACAATAATCAGTATTAAAAATTACTTGAAAATTAAATTAAGAGGGAATTAAACATATAAGCAATGATATCGTATAAATATTGTTTCTTTGAATACTGCTTGACATCTATAATGACTACTATAATGATCAATATTATATGCCAACTTACCAGTACCATAATAACGAGGGATACGGATTACAGCTGTGTACAAGATATTATCATTAGATAAAGGTCATGATTCTCTCTCCCTCCCTCTCCCTCTCTTATCTTACCTGATGATTATATCAAACACCAAATAAGTTCAGGTAACACACACACAGTGCGCATCCTCTACTAACAGTATCTTGCAGCAAGCCCCACTACTAGCCTCACTGCTCTCAGCTGGTTAGTTACTGGTGTACAGTGTTTAGAGGATTGGAGAGAGAGAGAGAGAGAGAGAGAGAGAGAGAGAGAGAGAGAGAGAGAGAGAGAGAGAGAGAGAGAGAGAGAGAGAGAGAGAGAGAGAGAGAGAGAGAGAGAGAGAGAGAGAGAGAGAGAGAGAGAGAGAGAGAGAGAGAGAGAGAGAGAGAGAGAGAGAGAGAGAGAGAGAGAGAGAGAGAGAGAGAGAGAGAGAGAGAGAGAGAGAGAGAGAGAGAGAGAGAGAGAGAGAGAGAGAGAGAGAGAGAGAGAGAGAGAGAGAGAGAGAGAGAGAGAGAGAGAGAGAGAGAGAGAGAGAGAGAGAGAGAGAGAGAGAGAGAGAGAGAGAGAGAGAGAGAGAGAGAGAGAGAGAGAGAGAGAGAGAGAGAGAGAGAGAGAGAGAGAGAGAGAGAGAGAGAGAGAGAGAGAGAGAGAGAGAGAGAGGAGAGAGAGAGAGAGAGAGAGAGAGAGAGAGAGAGAGAGAGAGAGAGAGAGAGAGAGAGAGAGAGAGAGAGAGAGAGAGAGAGAGAGAGAGAGAGAGAGAGAGAGAGAGAGAGAGAGAGAGAGAGAGAGAGAGAGAGAGAGAGAGAGAGAGAGAGAGAGAGAGAGAGAGAGAGAGAGAGAGAGAGAGAGAGAGAGAGAGAGGAGAGAGAGAGAGAGAGAGAGAGAGAGAGAGAGAGAGAGAGAGAGAGAGAGAGAGAGAGAGAGAGAGAGAGAGAGAGAGAGAGAGCTATAGGAAACGCGGTGGGAGCGCGTGTACAATGTGCACGTGCACTTTACTGTATGTGCACGTGCACTTTACTGTATGTGCACGTGTGCTCCAAATATTCCCACCTATATGGTGATATATTTGTTTTCTGAACACGGTCCCTACTGGTGTAGTAACAGTAGTATAACGGTGTGTAGGTATATTATAAGAGTTAATGAAACATATGGGAGATGGTAAGATTATACAGCAGGAGTGGGGGAGACTTGAAATCACTGAGAATAGAGATGTCAGCAGACAGCAACATGACATTCATTCTGCCCAAAACAAATACAACCTGTACATTGTGATGTTTAACAAATACACAGGATGAGCAGATAAGATAAGTATTATGAAGTATTTGTAGACCACAAATATGTGTTAGACTCATAGCTTTCTGAAGAACAATGATCTTATGTTGAGGGAAATAGTTACCAATAGTTACCAATAGTTACCAATAGTTACCAATAGTTACCAATAGTTACCAATAGTTACCAATAGTTACCAATAGTTACCAATAGTTACCAATAGTTACCAATAGTTACCAATAGTTACCAATAGTTACCAATAGTATGGTAAGTAATGAAAGAAATTCAAGATTAAGATAGAGGGAACAACTAAAATGCACATTATGCGTGAGTTATTTTATATTCTGCCTCGCTCTATAGGGGGAGCTGTATTACATCTCCTGCTCTGTGTATAATGAAGCAGGGTAACGATAACCATGGTAAGTGGTAACCATGGTAACGATACATTTATGACAGGGGTAGAGCTGCTATTTGCATAGAGACACCTGAAAAACATTAATCTCACGTGTTCCTTGGTATTATGATAAGATTCAGTGCAATTCATAACGTAACGAGTTGCCAACACTAGAACATGCTAGAGAAGTATTTGAACATTATTTCCAATACAGAAATTAAGTCCTCTGATTGGTTGGTTTTATGCACGTGATGAACGCTCTGATAGCTGATTGGCTGTGTTGCAATATCTCTATTAGTCAGTTTAACTTGATAATATTACTGCTGCTGCAGGCAGCGCCGCTATTAAAACTGCTCGAGACAGCTGTATCCTTCATTTGAACGGTTTGACGTACACCAGAACGTCACACTCAATCAGAGAGCAGTATTCTAGTCACGTGACTGGGGTAAACCAATCAGAGAGGAGCTTGACATTCGATCAAGCGACGTGAGATTAAAATCTCGCTCAAATGCGTGGAAACGGTTATTAAATTGAGAGTGTCCGACAGTATAAAGTATATTTAAAACCGGTGTCTTGCATTACTACTATCCCCAAACATAATGTATCGTTACCAGGTCTGAACAAGGTCTTAGGTCAAGTGAGGGACAGTAATCTAATTAACATTAGTTACTTAGTTACTTAGTTACTTAGTTACTAGCTATAATTAACCTCCTGACTATTATAACTGACTAGATGTCTCTGACAGCCGGCACCGTATTAACTATCTTACTGACCTGGCACCCAGCTTGCTACCTAGCCTGCTAGCTACCTAGCCTGGCACCTAGCCTGCTACCTAGCCTGCTAGCTACCTAGCCTGGCACCCAGCCTGCTACCTAGCCTGCTAGCTACCTAGCCTGGCACCCAGCCTGCTACCTAGTCTGCTAGCTACCTAGCCTGGCACCCAGCCTGCTACCTAGCCTGCTAGCTACCTAGCCTGGCACCCAGCCTGCTACCTAGCCTGCTAGCTACCTAGCCTGGCACCCAGCCTGCTACCTAGCCTGCTAGCTACCTAGCCTGGCACCCAGCCTGCTACCTAGCCTGCTAGCTACCTAGCCTGGCTCCCAGCCTGCTACCTAGCCTGCTAGCTACCTAGCCTGGCACCCAGCCTGCTACCTAGCCTGCTAGCTACCTAGCCTGGCACCCAGCCTGCTACCTAGCCTGCTAGCTACCTAGCCTGGCACCCAGCCTGCTACCTAACCTGCTAGCTACCTAGCCTGGCACCCAGCCTGCTACCTAGCCTGCTAGCTACCTAGCCTGGCACCCAGCTTGCTACCTAGCCTGCTAGCTACCTAGCCTGGCACCCAGCCTGCTACCTAGCCTGCTAGCTACCTAGCCTGGCACCCAGCCTGCTACCTAGCCTGCTAGCTACCTAGCCTGGCACCCAGCCTGCTACCTAACCTGCTAGCTACCTAGCCTGGCACCCAGCCTGCTACCTAGCCTGCTAGCTACCTAGCCTGGCACCCAGCCTGCTACCTAGCCTGCTAGCTACCTAGCCTGGCACCCAGCCTGCTACCTAGCCTGCTAGCTACCTAGCCTGGCACCCAGCCTGCTACCTAGCCTGCTAGCTACCTAGCCTGGCACCCAGCCTGCTACCTAGCCTGCTAGCTACCTAGCCTGGCACCCAGCCTGCTACCTAGCCTGCTAGCTACCTAGCCTGGCACCCAGCCTGCTACCTAGCCTGCTAGCTACCTAGCCTGCTACCTTGCCTGCTAGCTACCTAGCCTGGCACCCAGCCTGGCACCCAGCCTGCTAGCTACCTAGCCTGGCACCCAGCCTGCTACCCAGCCTGCTAGCTACCTAGCCTGGCACCCAGCTTGCTACCTAGCCTGCTAGCTACCTAGCCTGGCACCCAGCTTGCTACCTAGCCTGCTAGCTACCTAGCCTGGCACCCAGCCTGCTACCTAACCTGCTAGCTACCTAGCCTGGCACCCAGCCTGCTACCTAGCCTGCTAGCTACCTAGCCTGGCACCCAGCCTGCTACCTAGCCTGCTAGCTACCTAGCCTGGCACCCAGCCTGCTACCTAGCCTGCTAGCTACCTAGCCTGGCACCCAGCCTGCTACCTAGCCTGCTAGCTACCTAGCCTGGCACCCAGCCTGCTACCTAGCCTGCTAGCTACCTAGCCTGGCTCCCAGCCTGCTACCTAGCCTGCTAGCTACCTAGCCTGGCACCCAGCCTGCTACCTAGCCTGCTAGCTACCTAGCCTGGCACCCAGCCTGCTACCTAGCCTGCTAGCTACCTAGCCTGGCACCCAGCCTGCTACCTAGCCTGCTAGCTACCTAGCCTGGCACCCAGCCTGCTACCTAGCCTGCTAGCTACCTAGCCTGGCACCCAGCCTGCTACCTAGCCTGCTAGCTACCTAGCCTGGCACCCAGCCTGCTACCTAGCCTGCTAGCTACCTAGCCTGGCACCCAGCCTGCTACCTAGCCTGCTAGCTACCTAGCCTGGCACCCAGCCTGCTACCTAGCCTGCTAAGAACTTGCTTACAATTTGCTTAAAACGTGCTCTTTACTAGAGATATAAGGGTCGTATTTACCAACCTTTAGATCATACTTAAACAGCAGTTTAACGATGAGGTTGCACTTAAAAAGGAGTTTAAGTGGCAACTCTACAAATGGTATTATATTCACGAAATTCTCTATTAAGTTCAGTTATGTAGCCGGACTAACATCGCCTCCCCACTATTGTGCTACACAGTTCACATGTCCTTCCTCTCTGCAATTAGTTCTATCCTAGTTGATCTGAAGTTAATGACCTGCAACAGTGGTTCTATGAGGTATGCCTATCAGGTGGTACGCTCCTCCAATTAGTGCACACCTGTACAAATAGTGCACACCTGGAGTGAGCTCCAGGTGTGCACTATTTGTACAGGTGTGCACTATTTGTACAGGTGGTGTAAATGATATTAATATCATTCAATCTCCCTTTTAACACATCACTGGATTCACTGTAATAAGCAAAACCTTCCAATTATTACGACACAATAGCTTATTTTGGGAAATACGAGAACTATAATAAGTGACGATATGTTAAAGGGGGGGGGGGGGGGGGGGGGGGGGTTGGGGTGTCCCCGGGGGGGGGGGGGGGGGGGGTCACACCTCTTGAAGAAGGCTCTCTGACATTGGTTTACACTAAACTTATAGCTGTATGAGGGGCTTGTTATTATACACGGGGCTTGAGTCAGGACAAGCTGCGCTACCAAGTATTCAGTCTGATAATAAAAACTGAGTGTTTAGAAAAGTTACTGCTATTTTAATTAATCATCTGCAATATTTAATTTACATGTAATTAAGTAACTGGGGAGATATACACACAGTTACAGGTCCTATCTAGTAGTATCTGCAGGTCCCTAATACAATAATAGAAGCGCAATGTTCACTGTACACCCTGTATATAATACTGTATATTAGCAGTATAAGACAATACAGTGAGTAGCGTGTAATATACTGTCCCGGTAACAGGGCAGTGTAAGAGAGAGGGACTGAGTGTACTTCTGCTGAAAAACAACAAAGGACAAGAAAAGTGTTTTATTTACAGATTATATTCAAACTTTGCACTGAATTTTGAGCCATCATGCAGGTTGCATAGTTGAAGAATGAAATACCTCAGCTTTAGCGGGGATCGTTCATGCAATAAGAAGAACTGACAGGCAGGATTCTTTAAGTATATTTTCAGACTTTGATAAAGCCGTAAAAGTGGAATCTAGAGACCCAGCGATAAAAGGAAAATGTAATTAATTAATCAGTATATTCAACTAGTCAACATTTAGTTGATCGCCTTATCAGTCCTAGAGTACTATTAAAACCTTTAAGTTGAATTTCTCGTCAGATGCACACCGGTTCTCCTTTACTATGGAAACTTGCGGTACAAATTTAGCTGAAACAGTGAAGTGTGTACAATTAGTGACTCAGCGCTTCAAGAGAACATATGTTAAACATTGAATAACTTATTTGTGCTATTTTACATTACATAAGATAGGTGGGGCTTTAACAATTTAGCGAATAGTCTTCATAACAATTAACCTGAAGCTAGCAGAAAATTCAGCATTAATGTTGGGACAATGACAGTGATGAAGATGTGGAATTGTGTGAGGTTACTAGGGTGATGTTAGAGGTTACTATGGTTACTATGGTTACTAGGGTGATGTTAGAGGTTACTATGGTTAATATGGTTACTAGGGTGATGTTAGAGGTTAATATGGTTACTATGGTTACTAGGATTACTATGGTTACTAGGGTGTTGTAGCTGGACATGATGTTGAAAGACTAATTTTGATTAGAAAACGTCCTCAAAATGAACAGTAAAACGTTTTATTATAACAGATCTTTGTAATGCAATATTTACAGTTCTTTTATCTCCGCTGTCAAAAGTTTGTACATTATATGCTGATTGCCTGATTGAGTTAATATTTCAACATATTATATTAACAATGACCCCAGGTGTAGGAATCAAATAGTGAATACCGCAGACTATAGAGACACAGAGCATTGGTCTGTGTCCATTACATATTCTACACTTGGCTATTAACCGTGTCTGAAAAGCCATTTTCAGACACAGCTGGTATCTAGTAGTCCTGTCTGATAACTAGGCACTACAGTGTGTGACAGTTGACTCCTCGGACCAATCAAAACCCAGCATTCACACCACGTGACGCTTTCTCCTCCAATCAGAATGAAATACAGAGTTTCAGCGCGGTTCTACTACCGTGTTCCACCGTGAGTCCAATGGGGGCGGGGACAGTAAGCTTGTTAACGAGGCATATATATACATATCACCGGAGACTCGCGGGCGGAACAAAATATTGCACGCGCACGCGCGTGCAATATTTCATATGTCCCCGAGGGCGCTAGCCCGAGGAGGACATATTTTCGTATAGCACGGAGGGCCCATCGGGCCCGAGTGCTATACGATTTTTCCGCCCGCAGGTCGAGGTGATGTGGATTATATCCACCAGCGGGCGTATTACAGTTAATATATAATTTTATAAATAAACAATGGAGCTTGTATAAAAGTCAACTCTAGAAAAGGTCGCCACTAATTGTTGTAACCATGGTAACACGTCACGTGTTCAATGTAAGCCAATCATAAAGGGCTGTGTCGTATATAGGGGCTGAAACTACAATAAACAGAAACTACACTTATAATTAGCTCACTGTACGATTATTGCAATTGAATTCATCGTTAATGAAATTGAATTAAACCGGTTTCAACTATAGTTCTAAGTAACTTGTAAGTTGTTGTCTTATGGAATTTCACATGGAGACGATACAGAAACTGAAAATATTTTAGAGAACTCCGGGCTATATTGCTACTGGTCAAATTAAATGTCACTTGTTAGCGGGCTATATCATGAGCGGGCTGTAGAGATATCGGGCCCTTTGACAGCGGGCTGGTGAGAGCCCGCTATGCGAAAAAGCGCACGCTGGTGGATATACAATGCTGTTCGATCGTAAAGTGCTCTATATTCAATATTCTCGAGAATAAAGACAAAAGGGACCTATAGTACATTATTAGCCTCGGTCTGTACTCTCATGTTGAATACCTAAAACTATCTTGTAGCGATGTAGCCAGAAAATAGTTAGTGGGTGTGGATTTTGTTAATTCAGAATAGCTCAAGGGGCATTAAAACATGAAACATACATTGTGATAAATTGAGATGTGATTATAGAGGGTGATGTAGTTGTATCCTCTTTGTTCGGTAGTGGATCCTGTTGTTTTAATCCGGCTAGCTGTGGTAATATTATAACCGTACACTAAGAATAATAAAAGACGGTGAGCTTCAAAGGTAATCTTACTCTTCTTGAAGTTTTCTAAATAATTGAACTCCGTGTTTTCTATTGTTTTCACTTTCAGTTTTAGCAATGGCTAATGAGTAAAGGTATTTACAAATGATGTGAGATGTCCCCTAGTTCACACCTCACACACCACTCCTCACCAGATATAACGAGGACTCCTCAGCTAGCAAGCCTGTCCCGCACGACACAGTGTACCACTAACCTGGAAGTGTGTCCTAGTAACCGTCAACTAACCTAGTTATCATCAGTCTACTTCCTTATATGGGCATCATGATTGCCTTATATGGTCATAACACCGCCGCGCCACACGGAGTTGAGAACAAGTAATTGTGTATCGTGTTACTTTATTGTCGACCAGTTCAAACCACATTGTTCAGGTTCCTTCAGCTAATATTAATATGTCATGGTTTGATACGACAGAGAAGAGATTTAATGCTTACTTCAGAACTTAGAGCAAAGCTGGATAGTTTAGATATTGGCTTATCAATAAGTTTACATATTTAACCTTTCTAACAGAAGTAAAAGCGCCTTTACTAGTATGACCGCTCTAAAAGCCACATAATACAAATTAAATAGGTAACCATGGCAACACTTGCCGTTAATATGACCGCACTGCAATCTGTTGGTTGCCACGTGATGGAACGGGAAGTGCAACATGAAGCTACCACCAAGTGGGGACTTCCATGAGGTCCCGTCCACCTTAAATACACTACAAATATAAATAAAAGGTTTAATTCAAGCCACATCACTAGTATTAACTTACCGTTTCACCAATTATATTCTGAGACTCTGAACTCATTATATTTGTGAGACGATCAGACGATGTATGTAATGAAGCTACAACTATAGATCGGTGTTGATATTATATATAGCCTGTTGCTAGGCAACTACAATTTCATTTGACTCCCATGGAGCAGATAAAGTTTTTAAATCTCTTAATGTTCCGTTTAAAGAGGTACGGCTAGACAAGACATCCTGCTCTTACTACTAAAGCTACCACCAGCTATTTAGAAGATATCGCTACATTTTATAAGTTCCTTCATAATACTGCAACAGTAGCTTTAGATTGTTGGTAATCCAGGAGTGATGGAGTTTGGCGATGATCCCCTGCACAACTGGTTATATATGAAGACTTGTGTCCCACATGTAATTACACACTGTGTCCCACACTGTGTCCCACATGTAATTACACACTGTGTCCCACATGTAATTACACACTGATTGGGGACCAGCTTTTGGTACACTGGTTAATGTTTACTATAATATTAAAGTATTACAATTACATAAAATTAGATAAATATAAATTCCCTTTGCTTAGGACGTACCAAAATATCCAAAAATGAAACGATGCACCTTAGCACACAACACAATACATAAACAACTGGCAGTGTTCCCTCAGAAAAGAGCCCTATAGATAAACCTGGCCTGGGTGAGACCTGCATTGCGATTGCTATTCAGCGATGTGTGCTCTACAAGTCATCACATACCTGAGTTACAATCACGGTTAAACGTTCCTCGTTATCGGCCGAAATCAACAAATACACGCCGAAATCAACAAATACACGCCGAAATCAACAAATACACGCCGAAATCAACAAATACACGCAACAGCCATAGATAAGAGCCTTATAGTACACTTAAATCAAAGTAATATGGATATCAAAAACACTATATGTTACATCTTGACCTTATCTACACTTAAAATCTTGCCGTCTCTGATATAATGATACTTTGTTGGCTGAGCAGCAATCATTTCCTTCATTTTTACAACAAGTTTCTGGTGAGCTGCTTTCTCCTCCCTATTTCTGTCAGGTGTGATGTACCATGTGTGGTACGCTACATAATTAGATTTCTTCAGATTTCTTGCTCGAGCAAGAACCATTTTGACTGATTCCGTGCAAGCCAATGTCACTTTTAACGGTCTTGGTTTACCACTATCTGCAGGTTTTTTAATCCCGATCAAACTTGCTGCCACCACTTGAGGATCACACCCCGATGATTCCCAAATTTCGGTAATCACTTCTTCTGCCACTATATGTGGATCACTGCCGTAATTCTCTGGCACACCGTAAACAATGAAATTCTTACTGCGGACGTCATCTTCAACTACAGTTTTCACAGCTGTCTTTATACTGTCAATCGACGGAGCACTGGTAGTTGTTTCACAGTTCTCCTTCACGATGTCGCACCATGTTTTTTTCATCTCAGTTTGTACAGTTTGCTGGACAGAGTCGAGCTCTTTCTGTTGCTGTTTGATAAGATCCTTCTGATAGTTAAGCTGCTCTGATTTCAGTCTGTCTATCGTACTGGCCGCATATTTACATAGTTCAATATTGCCTGTCATCAATTTAGAAAGTTTTTCGACAGCATTAGCCAAGGGGTCTTTCGTAATGGCCATTAATCTCGAATGATTCAGCTCTGTAACGGTTTGAGTTTTCGAGAGTTTCAAAATGTCATACAACGCCACTGATAACTCTTTTTCGAGTCTGTTCAAATTTTCCACAGTGAAGTCCATTGTACAAAGCAAAGGCAAGCTGAGTAGCTGGCGTGTCGATGTAAAGATAAAACAACTGATGTAAAGATAAAACAACTGTGTCCCACATGTTATTACACACCGTGTCCCACATGTTATTACACACTGTGTCCCACATGTAATTACACACCGTGTCCCACATGTAATTACACACCGTGTCCCACATGTTATTACACACTGTGTCCCACATGTAATTACACACCGTGTCCCACATGTAATTACACACCGTGTCCCACATGTTATTACACACTGTGTCCCACATGTTATTACACACTGTGTCCCACATGTTATTACACACTGTGTCCCACATGTAATTACACACCGTGTCCCACATGTAATTACACACCGTGTCCCACATGTTATTACACACTGTGTCCCACATGTTATTACACACTGTGTCCCACATGTTATTACACACTGTGTCCCACATGTTATTACACACTGTGTCCCACATGTTATTACACACTGTGTCCCACATGTTATTACACACTGTGTCCCACATGTTATTACACACTGTGTCCCACATGTTATTACACACTGTGTCCCACATGTTATTACACACTGTGTCCCACATGTTATTACACACTGTGTCCCACATGTTATTACACACTGTGTCCCACATGTTATTACACACTGTGTCCCACATGTTATTACACACTGTGTCCCACATGTAATTACACACTGTGTCCCACATGTTATTACACACTGTGTCCCACATGTTATTACACACTGTGTCCCACATGTTATTACACACTGTGTCCCACATGTTATTACACACTGTGTCCCACATGTTATTACACACTGTGTCCCACATGTTATTACACACTGTGTCCCACATGTTATTACACACTGTGTCCCACATGTTATTACACACTGTGTCCCACATGTTATTACACACTGTGTCCCACATGTTATTACACACTGTGTCCCACATGTAATTACACACTGTGTCCCACATGTAATTACACACTGTGTCCCACATGTTATTACACACTGTGTCCCACATGTTATTACACACTGTGTCCCACATGTTATTACACACTGTGTCCCACATGTTATTACACACTGTGTCCCACATGTTATTACACACTGTGTCCCACATGTAATTACACACTGTGTCCCACATGTAATTACACACTGTGTCCCACATGTTATTACACACTGTGTCCCACATGTTATTACACACTGTGTCCCACATGTTATTACACACAGTAGACCGACACTATCAGTATACACCACATGATATCAGGCGGGCAATCTAGCCGGAAAATGCTGAATAACAATCATATTACAGAAATTCTTCCCAATATGCGTACACAATGTGGCCGTCTAACACAGGGTCGTAGTACCCACACTAGTACACCAGCTAAAATACACCCGTCTGATCTGGTAATGGTGTGAACTCAGCATAGAGATGATTATGAAACTACTCCAATATGTTGTATTATTATTAGTATGTTCACGTGGCTAACCAAGTGCTAACACCAGGTAACCTAGGTAACCACATAATAATAATAGTTAGGTTACCTACGTAACCACCTCTAAATAATTACAGCTCTTGAAAATACGTAACTTTAACACTGATCCACTTCTATTCACTTCTATTCACCGAGTACAGCAATGTCTGGCTCAATAGGCAACTATAAAAGTATAAAGTACATTTAATGAAACTGGAAATGATCACGTGATCTTATTGTGAGAACATTTTCCTTCCGTGAAATGTGCTAAGCAACTGGAATCGGAGGTGGTATTTTGCTACTTAATTAAGTACGTTCAACATTTTAACTTCTTGACAATTATTAATACTTTGGAATAGAAGCTAAAAGAGGGAATGACTTTTTGTAAGACGTATTGAATTGTGAAAATAATGAGACATTGGGTTAAATGTGATTTTATTAATATGTTGCAACACTGAATAGCTTGGGCATCAGTCAATACGACACAAACTACTAACTTTGCTCCCGCCCAAATAACCTCTCACACTCCCAATTTAACCTAAATTTAACCATTAGTTTAGTAGTTTGTGTCACATAATGTGGGTTGTTGATGTTTGGGGGGCAGCGATGTTTATCTTACCTGCAGGACCAGACTTAGTGACATGAACCTGGGGAAACAGAGTTTTAGAGTTCACTTTTAGAGTTCACTTTAGAGTTCACCTTAGAGTTCACCTTAGAGTTCACTTTAGAGTTCACTTTAGAGTTCACTTTAGAGTTCACTTTAGAGTTCACTTTAGAGTTCACTTTAGAGTTCACTTTAGAGTTCACTTTAGAGTTCACTTTAGAGTTCACTTTAGAGTTCACTTTTAGAGTTCACGTTACCCCAATGTTAGTAGCAGTAATAGTTACCCCAATGTTAGCAGTAGTAATAGTTACCCCAATATACCCCATATTACCCCAACATTACCCCAATATACCCTCTATATACAACTATTTACTATTTACTATTTACGCAACTATTTACATCGTCACAATGAGCACACGGTTCTACAGTTTCCTTTCTTTACTACAAGGTTTTCTCTAATTCCAATAGATGCTGATTTGATGTAACACGGTTTATTTCAGCACATATACAGGGCTTTAAGGGCTCTTTGGCACACATATGTTAACTGCTGAGTTTAGTCAAGACTATAATGGATCTAATGGCTCAAAGATGAGCTGGAATACCGCTACAACCTGGAGATAACAACCAGTAGTACTATCAGAGTTATCATTTATCAATTAAGTAATAAACAAAGTTCCTCTAGAATATCATATCATAACACAATAACTCAGTGTGTTTTATACTTTAAAAGTATTTATTATTTAATGACCGTCAATTATAGTGGACAGAAATAACATGCTTGTTATTAACATTGAACTTGCGTTTTGTCGATTTGGTTTCAGTCTCAATAATCAATAAAGAACATACTGCTTACTAATTTATCGTTTTTGGTGCTAAGGTATTAAAGTGTAATAATATAAAGAAAAGAAATGTTGCTGCACAGTGCACACTGCACACACAGCACAGTGCACACACAATGCACATACAGTATAGTGCACAATGCACACACAGCACAGTGCACAGTGCACACACGGTGCACACACAGCACGAAAATGCTTATATCCTTATTAAATAAATCAGCGAGAGTTTTAAACACAAACAGCTGAACGTCATAATGACGTCGTCATTACTTGTATAACAAATACTTAGTCAACGGAGCAAATTTAAGGATGAGTTAGCCAATTCAAACGTTAATAATTAGCCAATTCAAACTTTAATTAGCTAATTCAAACCTTAATTAGCTTATTCAAACGTAAATTAGATAATTTATAATTACCTTGGGAAGAACTGATCGTTTTTCCTCGTAGCTCTTGTAGCACATTAGTATGGTCAGAAGACACAACATAACGAAGATCACCAGAGGTAGAATTAGTTTAGATGAGGAGAACTCCAACTCTGAAATTAATTCGTTAAGTAATTGGAAGTTAATTGGTTAATTGGAAGTTAATTGGTGAATTGAGTTGGAGTTGAGAGAATATTCATTATCCCCACTGATATCAAGCCTGGTTCGGGCTGGTTGGTTGCAGTGAAACTAGCTGCCTCATCAGACAAACTCTTCTGCTTGTAAGATTACGCAGAGAAGTAGCACACGGTATCACGTGACAGAAATAACCCATTAAGCTAACAGTATTGACTATTGACCAATCAGAGCCCAGAATCAAGATCACGTGTTAATCTCTCCCTCGTCTATAGTAATATTTAAACATTCCTCAGTGAAACTACCAGTTTTGATTACAAAATTGTTGAAATAAAACATCCGTTCTTTAATTCCCATGTAAGAAAAGCGCACAAAGAAAAAGGACGTGTATAAAGAGATTATTAATGGCACTGAATGACGAGTGTGTCTGAGTGGGCAGGTGGTACAGTGTGGTACAGTGTGGTACAGTGGTACAGTGTGTCCTAAAATAGAGGAGATCACTTTCTCAGCAGCTTTACTTACTGCTAAAGACTATATTCCTAGCTTTATGTTAACAGGTAATGAGAGGATGGAAACACATTCGTCCTAATATAATGAGAACAAGGTAGTAATCCCCCTATTATAGGTTGCTGGAATGTTCCCTTCTGTTTGATTGGCGGCTGGAGAATTCTCCTTACATTTGATTGGTTAAACTTAGGAGATGAAAGGAAAATGGCACCTGTCACAAAGCAGATGAGTTTCAAATAATGAAGAAATAAAGACATGTTACAGGTAGTTGCAGGTAGGTAATTAATATCACAACACGTAATGTAACAGGTAGGTAGATTACTGTAGTTAGACTTACAGCTGCTATAATATATATATAATACAGCAACCAATCAGATCACTCCATCAGGGATGATATTTGGAATCTTTTCTCATTTTTCCTCGTCGACAAGTGACCAAGCTCAGTAAGTGTACCGATTCATAACGATACTAGAAACTTCTGAGGTTAACAAGTTATCGTTCTGTATCATTAAATATAGGAAACTGAAGACCTTATAGTCTTCCGTAAGGGCTGCAATCACCTTTGGATTGCAGGTTGCAAGCTTATGTTTTTTATACCATGTCGAGGCAGAAAAGGTGCAGGAAAGCACCTACCCCACGATGGCATCTAATACTACTATTATAATACAGTATGTTATCTGCAAAGCAACAGCTCTCAAATATAAAACATGGCGGAGCTATTAAGGCCAACGCATGTCCAGTGACTTTCGGCCAACCCTGTAGTTATATGATATTATAGTTTGCAGGAATTGTAGCTTATCATAGAAACAATATGTTGAATATATTGTTGTAAAGAAAAAGAACTTCTATGCGGGTAATTCTAGATTTATACATTACGAATCGTCAGGAAAGTCAGTGTAAGACATTAACATTGTAAGTTATCTGTTGTGTCGAATTCAACAATCGTGTCAGGCAACGCTATATACTACGCCGTTGTATAGTCCAACCTGAGACTGCCTAAAGTCTGCAAATTTTGCCCATTCCCTAACATAGCAACATTGCACACTTCATTATCCCTCTGTAACAGATATGATAGCATTATCACAGTGGATAATATACATTTATTACTCTTATCATTATTTAAAGGTAAGTAGTATTAGTTATGTTATGGGGGGGGGGGGGGGGGGGGGGGGTGTCATGTCCGTCTATGTCCGCCTATGTCCTGTCCTTTTTGGATTCTATGAGACAACAGACGTGTTTTTTGGGACATTGGCGGACACGGACGGACATTGGCGGACTCGGACGGACATTGGCGGACTCGGACGGACATTGGCGGACTCGGACGGACATTGGCGGACCCGGACGGACATTGGCGGACTTGGATGGACATTAGCGGACATTGGTGGACATTAGCAGACAAACATTTTGAGGACTGAAGAGTACTGAAGAGTACTGAAGAGTACTGAGGAGGATGGCTGAGAAGGATGGCTGAGTAGGATGGCTGAGGAGGATGACTGAGGAGGATGACTGAGGAGGATGACTGAGAGGGAGGAGAAGGATCAGGAAGACCCAGGAGGAGGAGGAGGAGGAGGACCCAGAAGGAGGATCTAGGAGGAGGAGGAGGAGGAGGAGGAGAACTGAGGAGGATGACTCAGGAGGAGGATGACTCAGGAGGAGGACTGAGGAGGACTGAGAAGGAGGAGGACTGAGGAGGATGGCTGAGGAGGATGGCTGAGGAGGATGGCTGAGAGGGAGGAGGAGGAGGAAGAGGAAGAAGAGGACTGAGGAGGAGGAGGAGAAGGACTGAGCAGGAGAAGGAGGACCCAGAAGGAGGAGGACCCAGGAGGAGGACCCAGGAAAAGGCCCCAGGAGGAGGAGGAGGAGGAGAACTGTTGAGGACTGATGAGGAGGACTGAGGACGAGGAGGAAGAGTAGGAGGAGGACTGAGGAGGGGAGGAGGAAGAGGACTGGGGAGGATCAGGAAGACCCAGGAGGCTGGAGGACCCAGGAGGAGGAGGAGGACCCAGGAGGAGGAGGAGGACTGAGGAGGACTGAGGAGGATGGCTGAGAAGGATGGCTGAGGAGGATGGCTGAGGAGGATGACTGAGGAGGATGACTGAGAGGGAGGAGAAGGATCAGGAAGACCCAGGAGGAGGAGGAGGAGGAGGACCCAGAAGGAGGACCTAGGAGGAAGAGGAGGAGGAGGAGGAGGAGATTTCAGGAGGATGACTGAGGAGGAGGAGGACTCAGGAGGATGACTGAGGAGGACTGAGAAGGAGGAGGACTGAGGAGGATGGCTGAGGAGGATGGCTGAAGAGGATGGCTGAGGAGGATGGCTGAGAGGGAGGAGGAGGAGGAAGAGGAAGAAGAGGACTGAGGAGGAGGAGGAGAAGGACTGAGGAGGAGAAGGAGGACCCAGGAGGAGGAGGACCCAGGAGGAGGACCCAGGAAAAGGCCCCAGGAGGAGGAGGAGGACTGGGGAGGAGGAGAACTGTTGAGGACTGATGAGGAGGACTGAGGACGAAGAGGAAGAGTAGGAGGAGGACTGAGGAGGGGAGGAGGAAGAGGACTGGGGAGGATCAGGAAGACCCAGGAGGCTGGAGGACCCAGGAGGAGGAGGAGGAGGAGGACCCAGGAGGAGGAGGAGGACTGAGGAGGATGGCTGAGAAGGATGGCTGAGGAGGATGGCTGAGGAGGATGACTGAGGAGGATGACTGAGAGGGAGGAGAAGGATCAGGAAAACCCAGGAGGAGGAGGAGGAGGACCCAGAAGGAGGACCTAGGAGGAGGAGGAGGAGGAGGAGGAGGAGAACTCAGGAGGATGACTGAGGAGGAAAAGGACTCAGGAGGAGGACTGACGAGGACTGAGAAGGAGGAGGACTGAGGAGGATGGCTGAGGAGGATGGCTGAAGAGGATGGCTGAGGAGGATGGCTGAGAGGGAGGAGGAGGAGGAAGAGGAAGAAGAGGACTGAGGAGGAGGAGGAGAAGGACTGAGCAGGAGAAGGAGGACCCAGGAGGAGGAGGACCCAGGAGGAGGAGGACCCAGGAGGAGGAGGACCCAGGAGGAGAACCCAGGAAAAGGCCCCAGGAGGAGGAGGAGGACTGGGGAGGAGGAGAACTGTTGAGGACTGATGAGGAGGACTGAGGACGAGGAGGAAGAGTAGGAGGAGGACTGAGGAGGGGAGGAGGAAGAGGACTGGGGAGGATCAGGAAGACCCAGGAGGCTGGAGGACCCAGGAGGAGGAGGAGGAGGAGGACCCAGGAGGAGGAGGAGGACTGAGGAGGACTGAGGAGGATGGCTGAGAAGGATGGCTGATGAGGATGGCTGAGGAGGATGACTGAGAGGGAGGAGAAGGATCAGGAAGACCCAGGAGGAGGAGGAGGAGGAGGAGGACCCAGAAGGAGGACCTAGGAGGAGGAGGAGGAGGAGGAGGAGAACTCAGGAGGATGACTGAGGAGGAGGAGGACTCAGGAGGAGGACTGACGAGGACTGAGAAGGAGGAGGACTGAGGAGGATGGCTGAGGAGGATGGCTGAAGATGATGGCTGAGGAGGATGGCTGAGAGGGAGGAGGAAGAGGACTGGGGAGGATCAGGAAGACCCAGGAGGCTGGAGGACCCAGGAGGAGGAGGAGGACCTAGGAGGAGGAGGACTGAGGAGGACTGAGGAGGAGGACTGACGATGACTGAGAAGGAGGAGGACTGAGGAGTACTGAGGAGGATGGCTGAGGAGGATGGCTGAGGAGGACGACTGAGGAGGATGACTGAGAGGGAGGAGGAGGAGGACTCAGGAGGAGGACTTAGGAGAAATGAGAAGGAGGACTAAGGAGAACTGAGGAGGAGGAGGAGGAGGACTGAATAGGAGGAGGAGGAGGAGGGGGACTGGGAGAGGACTGGGGAGGAGGACTGATGAGAAGGATGAGGAGGAGGACCCAGGGGGAGGAGGACTGAGGACCGAGGAGGAAGAGGAGGAGGATGAAGAGGAGGAGGAGGACCCAGGAGGAGGAGGACTGAGGAGGATGGCTGAGGAGGATAACTGAGAGGGAAGAGGAGGAGGAGGAGGAGGACTGAGGAGGACTGAGAAGGAGGAGGAGGAGGACTGAGGAGGACTGAGAAGGAGGAGGAGGAGGACTGAATAGGAGGAGGAGGAGGGGGACTGGGGGAGGACTGAGGAGGAGGATGGAGGACTGAGGAGAAGGATGAGGAGGAGGACTGAGGACTGAGGAGGAAGAGGAGGAGGATGAAGAGGAGGAGGAGGACCCAGGAGGAGGACCCAGGAGGAGGACTCAGGAGGAGGAGGACTGGGGAGGAGGAGGACTGTTGAGGACTGATGAGGAGGACTGAGGACGAGGAGGAGGAGTAGGAGGAGGACTGAGGAGGAGAGGAGGAAGAGGACTGAGGAAGATCAGGAAGACCCAGGGGGAGGAGGAGGAAGAGTAGGAGGAGGAAGCATCTAAATGTTATTTCCATTTTTGTCCGTTTTTGTCCGCTCTATTTTTTGTCCGTTTTGAAAATATAGGGTACCGAACGGACAAAAAACATGATCCCCCTATAACAGCAAAAATTGAACATTTTATTTAGCAATTTAGGTGTCCATTAATGTCCGCCTATGTCCGCCTATGTCCGTCTATGTCCGCCTATGTCCGCCTATGTCCGCCTATGTCCGTCTATGTCCGCCTATGTCCTGTCCTTTTTGGATTCTATGAGACAAGCGGACATAGACGGACGTGACACCCCCCCCCCCCCCCCCCCCCCCCCCGTTATGTAACTACCTTAGTTCCCAAAAATTTGTGTGCTATTAAATTGAGCACAATTTATTTGAGCCCGAAAAATTTGGGCAGAAAATTTGAACTCATTTGGGCGACCGAAAATTTGGGCACAAATTCTTCGAAAAATGAACGATTTTCCACTAAAATTTCAGTTAGATATTTGCCTTAGTTCATTATTATTCCTTATTATTCCAGTCATTTTGCTTTCAATTTTAAGCATGTAGGTGGTAGTCTGAGTTGTTTCACATTATAAAATTTACGATCTGCCCAGTAACTACTAAAAAATACAGTGATGATGGCACAGTACAAAATGATAGATATACAATAGTGATATTTAGTCTCTCGATCAGATAGTATATTTAAAAGGGAGGCCAGATGACATAAGGAAAGGCTTTGAGAAGTCGGGTATAACTGATGCTTGTAGATCAGACTTTACGGTGGATGATAATCCATTTGCAGATCTTGTTTAAATCTCTAGCTATCCGTACCTCTAGCCATTTGTTTTATTAGTAGCTGTTAGCTATTCCAGTTATTTCTATTCATTTAAAATATAAGCCTTTTTAATTGGTCAAGCCATGAATGACAGATTAGAAAACTAAAATTTCAAATATTATTTCACTTGGATATGAAGAAAAAGCATCTTTCTATAGATTTCAGGGCCACAGGCCAAATGCCAAAAGTTTGGTTAGCAAAAAATTTAGCAGACGGAAACGATTTATGCAATTAATTTGGTCTGCAAAAAATTTGGGCGAGAGGCCCGCTCAAATTTTTTGTCGCCCAAATTTTTGGGAATTAAGGTATGTTACTTATGTGGTTACATTTTCTGAATAAATGATATTATATAATAACTAGAAAACCCGTGGTCACAGGGAGGACGCTAATAGTATTCTTTGTTAGTAAGTTTAAATCGCGTCAAAAAATATCCTACACAACCGAAGATACAGCCAATTAAAATGTTGGTCGTACTAAACACAGCGTAATATCAACAAAACCGATAAAAATGACGTTAAAACAATCATTGCACGTGCACGTGCGTGTAATAACCCTCGTTACCATGGTAACTACGCAACTTCCTATTTCTCATCTAATTTGCACGTGGGCGGTCGTACAGTGTACAGACAGAAAGAATTCTCTGAATTATATTAGAGATGATGCTTTTCATACATAAGATAATGAGATTGATATAAGAAGTAAGAACTATTGCTCCTAAAACAAGCACTACTACTATTATTATTACTAACTCTCAGCAACCTCCCTGTACAGTGTACAGCCATCTTCAGTCCCAATCTAGTTACTAGTTTCTATCATTCTCTTCCCGACATAAACTTAAATGTTCTTTAAAAATCATATTTTCAGCGAGACAACGGCTTATCACTGTAATGCAGGATTATACAAATACTTATAACTGTTGCTTTTATCTTAAATAAACAGATCCCACAAATATTGATGAAGTGACAATTGACATGTAGTCCCCCCCCCCCCCCCTCTGTAAGTATACTTACGGAGACAGTTGCCACACTGGCTACAGTAGTTAGCTATAGTATCAGTCTCTACATCAGCACACTTCTTCCTCTCGTCCAAGTAGCTTTTACACCATGCAGTGTCTTTTGAACACTGTCCATTACCTTCCATGAAATCTCCTGAACATATTCCTTATTTTACTTACGTAACAAGATGGTAATAACTAAAAACATTTGATATATAATTATAGTAATTTCCAAAGCTAGTGGTTGATGCAGACTATAATACATTACCAAGAAGGACAAGTGGGTAGACACAGGACTAATTTGTATGATATTATTGTGAAAAAGGACCTATTTAAGAGAGAAAATGAAGATGATTTTACCAACTTAGTGAACTTAGCAAGAGATAGAGTAGGATGGAGGAGTTTATTTACTTTGAGACATATTGAACGAATGAGTCTTCGTAAGCGTAAATAGGCCAGCACTTTGCTGAGCCTCTTTAGGTGCTCTTTTGTTTATAAATGTTATTATATAAGAAGGACAATGAGTCATTAATGGATCATCAGGTGATATACTTAAATTATTATAAGTTCAGTTATTGTTCTGGTTAGAAAGAAGGTTTCAAAAGAACGTGTGACTTATGATGAGTGACTACATTTACACAGACTTAAACACACGATAACAGCGTGTTTGCTGCTTACTATACTCAAGAGAAGAAATAGGGAGTGCTGCTTGGTTAACCTGAGCACTTCTTACAATTTACAAGTTTCTATCACATTCTCCACGGATATTGCAACAAATATCTCCGTATTTGTGACTAAATGTTGGGACTAACAGAACATGTTTACACAGCCCCCCCCCCCCCTGTACTCTGTAGTCTGTATACCTGGTTCGTACTGGTAAGTGAAGCACTCCTTACAGTCGTTACTGCACGTAGTGTCATCAATAACTGACACACTGTGACACTTATCCTTCGTCACACATCTCTCCCCCATGTGACACTCATCTGAAATCAGTATAAATATAGAATAAATATTAAATATTAAATATAGAATAAATATTAAATATTAATTATAGAATAAATATTAAATATTAAATATAGAATAAATATTAAATATTAAATATAGAATATTACATGTTTTTCCCTACCATTGCCGAAGGGAACAAGAAGTCGGGAATACTCGTCATCACATCACGTGACCGGAGTGACGTCATTAAACTTACTAGTAGGTCTGATGAGGGCTGACACGGTGTGTTCTACAACTGAGTTATCGCTCAAAGTAAAGGAACATGTTAAGTGAGCTGTCTCCGCTAGGTTTTCTATCTTTAGATTTGTTTGTTGTGAATCGTATTTATATTCCCCTGACCTGTAACAATTATCTTATTATTATTACTAATTATAGCATTGAATAAATTCAAAAGCTGTCATGTGTTGCATCATATCTTACATCTGCAAAATTAACATGGGGTCTGCCCAAATAATTAGTCTTGTGTATTTTTCATATGCAAAGTTAGACGTCTAACCTTAACTTCAAGAAAAATCAAAACTTATTTTACCTGTGAGTATATTTAGTATTAGGTTTATTATCATCCCCATTATCGACCTCTTCGGATTCGCCCACTTTTAAGTCCTGTAAAATCAACCAATCTAAAACATATATTCTAAAAATGTAGTCAGATGACACAAAATAACTTATTAGAGAACTGTACATTGTACACTGATAGCAAATTTAACAGTATAAATTAAATCTTAATTAATTCCTGATCATATTGTTCCTGTTTGAATAATCTCTAATCACCTCCGTTAAACCATTGATAGACCACTTAATTTCAGTAGGTTCGTTCTCCAGCGGATATAAAGCACAAGACACTTCACACCCTACCCGACAGTTACCGCTTGAAACCCCCGCTACATCTGAAATTAACATCTTTTATCTGACTATCCAATAAAAAGATTAAGTTTAATAATCGATAATTAGCAAAGACTTGCATACAATAATTGCAGATGCAATGAAATTCAGTTGCTAATCAAAATAAAGTTAAATGCCACAAAGTGTGCAGTGTGCATAATACTATAAATTAGTATTTGTTAGACTAAACTTACTTATAACACTAATTGTATCAGATGCATGAACGTTATCATTTTTAATGCAATCGACATCTGTGCTTTCAGTTATCTTTTTAATGGTGATACTAGCTCCGTCCACAACTGAAGATAAGTAATGGTTAATGTATCTGTCTTGTGCAGAAGTTTCCATCTTAGACAAAAAATGTGGCCACATTCGTTTTATGGGCATCCGATCTATTTCCTAATCCACAGCATTTCATATAACTTATTCCAACTCATTTCCATTTCTCAGTCCTATGTGCAAGTTCTAATTAGCGATTTTTTGTCAGCAACGACACGCACTAACTATTTTATTCATACAGACGCGAATTCGGTCACTACTCTGGCAAATCAAAATATAACCTTGATTTCTAACCCTCGATAATACTTTTTTGAGGCTTCACCTCAAAAACCATGGACCAGGAAAAAATTGTATACAAAAAAACCGTATCCATTAACAAAGAAATTAATTAATTAATTAAGAAAAGCCATGAACAATAATCACTAATTAAAGCAATTTAAGTACCATGTTCAGCAGTAGGTGCTTTTCTATTCACGGTCCATGTGCCTTCCTCTGAGCAGATGACAGTCACAGCACTTCCATATGGTACTGTTTTATACGGTTTAATAGAACTTATTGTCAGAACACTGTAACCTGAGCATTAGAAATTACTTCAAACTGTTAAATCTCTTTACAAAAGAATCAATAAAAGAAAAATGCAATCAAAACATGGTTGTGCCATTCAATCCTAAAATCAAGACACCATGAACCATTTAGTGAAAGTATTAATAAAATTACTCTTGCATAAGAGGAAATTACCTTTAGAAAAGATAATAAATAGCAGAAGAAGGGAGATTTGAACCATGATCTGTTCATAATGCCGTGCAGGTCTCTACACCATCCCTTAAGATAATTAAAATTTAGTCTTGCCACTTATCTGTTATGAATTATTATCATAAATATGTAAAATGATATGGTTGTCCTTATCATTCCCTGCTTGGGATTCCAAAATGGTAACTTTGCAGCTATTAACCAGAAAAAGGGCCATCTCCACTTTCAACTTGAAAGCAATATACACTATATACAGTAAAACCCCGATATACCGCAGTTTGGGAGAAAGAAAACATCTGCGGTAAATTGGGACCTGCGGTAAATCTGGGTTTTGTTTGTTTAAATTATGCATGCTAAGCCCTATTTAGGGGAAGGAAACGCGGGTTTGCGGTAAATCATGTTATATGTACATGGATAACTGACAATCATTTGTAAAGGAAAACAACCTCTAGTAAAACTCCTGTGCGAGAAGATATGTTGTGCAACAATTATGGGCTAATTCTAAATAAACCTTGGGAGAAAGTCAGAGGAATTGAAGTAGGAGTTGTGAGTTTTCTTAAAAAATACCCAGTGCGCCATGCACTTTGTGAGCATTTGTTTCATTCTTCTCAACCGAGTGAAGTTTTTTTTGGTCCACTTGATTGTTGATAATTAATTAATGTTGGTGGGGAAATATTTATTATATATTTTTTCACACAGTGCGATGATAGTTTGTAGACATGTGTGATGATGTGATGTCATAAATTTTACTTTACTTTACTTTACTTTACTTATCAATTAAAATTTATTCAACAAAATATAAAGTCACTCAGATCAAGTGTTGCATTTGGCAGTGCACAATACACAGGTAACCGAAAGAAGTAACCTAGCAAGCAGGGTGAGGACAGGCTGTCTCTTCAGTTTCATCAATAATAGCATTTATGAAGGAGCAATTGGTGAAATTAGAACTGTTTTGATAAGAGGGCCCTTGGGCAATGAATAAGGGGTTTACTGGAAGTTAGACAAGCTGAAAGTTTCTCAAAAAATCATCTTGTGATCTAGTTTTCACAGCAATATTCAAGCATAGGATACCTTGTAAAGCTTATTGACGGTATTGAACCATTTCGAAAATGGCCTAACCAAATGTCGAAATGCTGAAATAGCTCAAATTCTAAATGCCAAAATAATTTCACAATTTGAAGCAATCGCGTTATAAAAATACTGTTTTAGCTATCAAGAAAGGCAGTAAGTCACACAAAACGTGACAATTTAGCACGTTATCCCAGAACCTTCCCTGAGAAAAGGCATTAAGTCCATTTGTACAGGCAGTAAGTCCATTTGTATGCAGCCTTCTCTGAGGGAACCTTTTCTGTTCCCTGCAAAAAGGCAGTAAGTCCAGACTTTATTTGCAGTTTTTATTGGTTTTGGCCTATAACTTTCACAGTTTTAGTTATATCGAAATAATTTTTATGTGGTCGTAATCAGCTCAGCAAGAAAAAAAATTGTGGCACTAATATTTCAAAATGTAAATAAATATTATTTTCAAAATTTATGAACCTGAACACATTATCGAAGAAGGTTGTGCTTTAAATAAAAAATATTTTCCCCCAAAATAATGCGTCTGGCCGAGCTGAATATGATCAATGATGCTGTACAAATTATTCCAAAATATTCGACATTTAATAAGTTATAGGTTTTTTTGAGCGATAAATTATCTATTTTTCGTCATATAATTACACACTTCCAATGCCCAAGAGGTCCATATAATTATATTGCAAGGATATGATCAAGAATATAGTTGTAGCGCAATTTGTAGCGCGATGCACTACTGGGTCGCGCGCGCATCAAATAATGCTTCTCGCAACCACAGATCGGCAAGATGCGAAGGATTGACATCGTGAATCAATAGCGCGATGCGTTACTGTGTCGCGCGGCGCACTCAATGAGGCTTCTAGATCGGCGAAATGCGCTACTGTGCCGCGCCGAGCTGAGATGAATTGACATCGTCAATTAAGAATATAGAAAAGTTGTATTTTTGTGTTCAAGAAAACAACAAATTTTTTTCAAGAAAACAACAAATTTTTATTTAAATCAATTATAGCAACAATTTGAAAAACTTTAAAGCTCTTCTATTACCATGGAATATACTACGGGTATGGTGACTTGGGCTATTGAGTTGTTAAGTAGATTAAGATTAGTAAACCTGCACTTGCATTGTATATTTTATAAAAACTAGAAATTAGGCTTCACGGTAAAATGGAGAAGCAGGCTGATCTTGGAGAGAGCAGACCGTAAAGTTTACGCACCCACCAGGGCTACCTACCTACCCCAGTTGTTCTTTTTGGTTTATCAGCTTGTATTGTTATATTTATGGACCCCAAGTCACCACACTAAGAAGGAGTATGTAAAAAAAAAATAATAATAATAAATTAAGTTAAGTTATTATCATCATATCTGTTTAAAACAGTAAAAGTCAAGTTGAGGATTGACTTTCCTAGTTAATTTAAAGGTTCAAACGTTTGGGAATATAATAATGTTGGTATTTGTATCTGCTGCAGCAATAATATCGAAATATCATTTGTCTAGAAAATTTTCGCCACTTCAATAGATATTGGGTCGGCAATTTGGTGAGTGAGTGATGAGATGGTTTGGTCTGTGATTGAGTGAGGGGCGATGTGAAAGTTGTGGTAAGTCCAGGTGTTATTATTGTTGATGGATTGAGATCCCAGGATGATACTTTTACAGCGTAATTTAACCAAAGATACAGAAGTAGTGAGGATTTCCCCATTCCCATTTAGAATCCGTTTATGTATCTGAGTTATGAACAGCTTATCGTTTGGTTGGTCTTTGAGAGCTGAGCCCCAAACACTTATTCCGTAAGCAAGATGTGATTCCAATAATGCAGAGTATATTTTTTGGTAGTGTTCCCCTGGAACTGAATGTTTAATCCTGTTAAGTGCTCCTGTAGTGGATCTAATTTTTTTTCTTAGATATTCTATATGTGGTCCCCAGCTAAGTTTTTCATCAATTACTACACCAAGAAATTTGGTGTTGCTAACCTTGACAATTTTGTGTCCATTTATAAATATTCCTTGTGATTTGTCATGTTCATTGGCATACGGCCTAACCCTGGCGCAGGTTTCATCAGATTCGTATGCAGGTAGAAAATGTATGTAGCAGCATTTAGACATATTTATATGTAAGAGATTACTTCTCATGAATTTGCATACGAAATCAAGAACTTTATTGGCTTTCACATTTCAAGTATGTTGCTTCTTTGGACGGTCCAGTGATAAATATATTTGTGTCATCAGCATAGAGCACAAATTTGCATTCATCGCCTTTGTAACAGTTTATTATGTCGTTCATATATAATAAGAAAAGTAGAGGGCCTAGTATGGAACCTTGGGGAACTCCATATTTTACATTCATAGTCTCTGATGTAGTGTTGAGAAATGAAACATACTGTGATCTATCGGATAAATAGCTTTTTAGAAGTTCTAGAGCTAGACCTCTAACCCCATAATTTTCCAGTTTCCTCAGGAGAATGCCATGGTCAAGAGTATCAAAAGCTTTGCTTAGGTCAATAAAGATTCCTAGAACATGATTACCACTGGATGTTGATGTTGTGATTGAATGAACTGATTTGTGGAGTGCATGTGAGGTTCATTGTTCATGATATGCACTACCTAAGTAAGCAGTCTATTCTACTTAGACTTGATGATTGCTCTCAGACCAAATTCTCACCCCCAATTGCTACAGAACTTTGTCTACTGACGCCGAACAAGCACAGCATGAGTACAACTCAATTATGCTTCTCGCTAGATCGGCGAGCTGCGATGAATTGACATCGTCAATTAAATGTTAACTTACTCTTAGGAAAATGGACTTACTGCCTTTCTATTGACCATCGTTAATGATCTGGCCCAGCGCGCGCTACTTCGTAGCACTTGCCATCGGGCAACATTTCGCGAAGAAAGCGGCGCGCGCTACTTCGAAGAAATTTAGACGAGTAACATCCGTCAACCTTTCTAGAGAGGAGTCGGTTGAAATCGTTTTTGATAAAAAGGCAGTAAGTCCGCAATTCCCTCAGAAAAGGATGTAAGTTCAATGTTGATAAGAAAATAGTTCAGTTAGTCTGAAGAAAAATGGTTTTTATAAATTAGTGTTGGTGAATTTATGCTTTAATTAAGCATGTTTCGGATTTAACGGGTGATACTCGTAAAATATCTGTTCCATATATTGGACCGTCGACGAGTCTAACTCGGCGCACGTCCTGGTAGGTTATAAACCTACAAGTTTCGGATATGTGACAATAATTTATTTACGCATGAATTTCAAAATTAACCCCGTTTATGCGATTAAAATTACCCCAAAACGACGAATACGTTTGTCCCATTTTCTCAAAATGACATCGATGTGACTTACTGCCTTTTCTCAGGGAACGGCAGTGTAGCCTGGGTCCCCAGATAAAGCAAATAGAATATCACGCTAAAACATGATGATTTGCTCTAACCAGAGCCCTCGTGCTTGCAATAGCGCGCGCCCGCTATTGTAGGTTTATAACCTACCAGGACGCGCGCCGAGTTGGACTCGTCGACGGTCCAATATATGGAACAGATATTTTACGAGTATCACCCGTTAATGGTGACGTCATAGTCACGTCACACGTGACCTCAGGCTCATAATCATGTGACCTCAGACCCAATCAATTAGGTTTTGGCCTGGTCAGCCCCCTGTCACCCGATCTTGAAGTGACGTACGACACCTCGTTAACCCAATCATTGTCAGGAAGGCTGCAAATTTTCATATGCCAAACTCACAATGGTTTTAATAGGGGGTGCAACATAAAAATAAACTTGCTCGGATTTTAAAAATTTTTGTACCATTGTTTTCTAGAGACTGTGAGAATTTTCACAATACCAAATTTGTCATACCTTTTTGGAAAGATCAGTGAGTTTCGCCTAGGTGCCATATTTGATGGTGCGCGGCTTTTGGAGCAAAATTAGCTGTAAAAGTCGCGTAATTTGACCAAATTTGACCAAATTCGTTGATTTTTGTCGTATTATTTGGATATATCTTCAGTTCCTTGAATGAGATCATTCTGAA